CAAAGGGAAGAGATCAACTTGTCCTTTCTGTGCAAGGAGCAAAGAGGGTGGCCACCATTGAACGATTTGACAAGCTCATTGGGAACATTGTGCCTGATGAATCATCACCCGATCTGGACGAACTTCGAAAACTTGTCGATATCAGGACCGGTCACTTCAGTCATACTCACAGATTGTTCCCTGGACATCCGGATTGGAATGACGCAATATCATTGTTGGCAGTCACTCATCATCCCAGCAAGGAAGACCATCGACTATGCCCCGCATGTCTGATGGAGACCCCTTCACCATTATCGATTTGTGTGATGTGCAAAGGATTTTTGGTGAGTCATGGATGGAGGAAACGAATCAAGATCACCGTGGCTACAGTACCAAGCGCCGAATCACATCATCGAGAAGAAGATCTCAAAGACCATGTCAAGAAAGCATGGGAGGAGGTGAAGATCGATTTGACAGGTGATGGTGATGACGACGAAGCGATGCCAGATGATGATGACGTCACCATGAAGAGTCCAGAACAAAAAACTCAACCAGAAGAAGGAGATGATGATCAAGCCTCGAAGAAGGGCGACATCAATGACGAGAAAAGAGACTTCAGAGAACAAGATGAGGTCGACAAATTTCTCAATCAGGAAGGAAAACCGACCGACGAGAACGACGATGAAGAGATAGCGGTCGATGAAATCAACATTGAAGAGTACGAGGCTGGAGAAGCTCGTGATGCAGTGATTGAGTACCCCAAGTGGATGCAGCGGATTGAGTTTGGATCAAAGGTCCTGCCGATCGAACCTTGCACAATTGGAGATGCTCAGCCAGAATTCATCAAGATCCTCCTGTTGCAGATTGGATTACATATCGTCAGGATCTACAGACTATTCCAACGGAACTTCTGTGGAGACATCGAGACGGCATGGAAACATTTTCAACAGAACCAGAAATTCAGGATGGACCTGGACTCAAGAACACCTTATCTGGGCGAGGATGAAAATGGTGAACTCATTGAGCCGACTGCACAACAGATGAAAGAGCTCTACAAACAGATCGGCCGACCAAATCAAAAGGACGACATCGGAGAAGAGGGATTCGTCAATGCGTACTATGGGGCAGTGGTACTCAAAAGACTTCTCATATATACCCTTGAATGTGGCTACACGTACGATGACTTGCAAAATATCTTCTTTGACGAGGAAATGGAGAAGCTGTCGAAACGTGACACAACAATGGATGAGATGAGAAAGACCACAGCGGCCCGCGACGCCCTTGACCGACAAGACGTCATGGTCAGAAGAATCATTGCAGGTGCATATAGGGTAAATGCTGTTTATTTCTTCAGGAACGTCGACTTTCAAGACACAATCACACTGAACCCAGTTGACGTTGTGTGTGCTCTTCGTCCACCACTTCGAAGAATATCACTTTTACACCTGATCCTTCAAAACGGTCGACAATTGCCACGACCTCTACTCCAGAAGCTATATGATGCAATCGATGACTACAATCACATCAAGCAACGGGAAGATCAGCGACCAAGGTGGGGCATCCACATGACAGAAGCCCACATACTTGCGATTGCTGATACCCCAACTCCTGCTGATCGTGAACGTGCTAACCCAGCCGCTGGCAAGTCGAAAGCAGCTCCGAAAGCAGCACCAGCACTGGGAAGAGTGTCAAAAGCGAAAGCATCATCATCAGCGACATGGAGAACAGTTGAAACCGCTCCTCCGCCAAAACAAGCTCCAGTGACCCCGCCGAAGAAAGGTGGAAAAGACCAAGGAAAAGGTGGAAAATCCTATTCACACCGTGGCGGAGACTGGAACCAACAGGGATACTATGGATGGGGATATAGATGATTAAGCGATCTGACCTCTGCATAGGTCCTGATTGAACCTGGCGATGCGAGGATGCAATCATTGCTCGAGATTTACCTCTACTTCATTTTGAATGATTTCTGAGAGGACTCTGAGCCGGCTAATTTAGAACCACCCATTTTTTTTGAACATCATTGCACGAGACGCTGAGTTTCTACAGCGGTCTACATCTCAACCGACGAAGGAATGGGAAGGTAAACTTCTAATTCCATAGTCAACTTTGTGTTTTGATTTCTTTAATTCACATGCTTGAGTGAGACTCCATGCTGGCTACGCCACATCGGATGAACCTCAATGCTAGACACCGACTACGTCGTGTCTACATGCACGTGAACAGAACATTTATCTTTTGGTAGAGATTGTAGCAAGCCGCCATGTAGATATGAAGTTCTGAACGGACTTTAGCTCTCCATAATTCAACAAATGAACAGCTGCGAGTGTAGTGGATCAGTTTAAAGGACACTCCTTTGCGCGCAGCCAACAAAATTGGCTGTGCGTGGGGGGTGCGAATAGAGTGTAGGCTACGGACCAGTGTATATTAGCACAATTAGACACTCTAGGATCCAGCACCAAAGGGGCATTCATAACCGGCCTCTTTGGCTCAAGACCCACTGCAGCAACAGAGTAAAGAAGCGCTATGCGGAAGCTGTCGCCCGTGTGAAGTCGTCAAACTGGGACAATCATCCTCAATATCAACCACTGGAACATAATCGGGCAGGCAATCCCCGATTCGCACAATCGATCAATGATAAATCAATGGATATAAATATATATATATATACTGGTTTTTGTTTCACCCATCACCCATCCAAGCCTGGACAGTACCATACACATCCATAAACCATTGTTGGCTAACTTTCCAACCAGTTTACCTATTTGGGGGACCCACATCGTACAAAAGACTTCGGGTCTGAGCCGAAAAAAGGAACGTAACTTTCCAAACATTTTGGATGAAGTGATCATAGCTGCCTTAGAACAAATCGGCAGAATGACGCAGACAACCTCATGTTGCCATGAACCAAAGTTGGGTACCCCAAACGATAAAATGGTAACATCTTACTATATAAACATTACTCAACTATATTCAACTAACGAGTAGAAACATTTTATAATGGTAGACATTGCTCAACTAACTATACAGACAAATTTACTCAACTATACTCAACATAACGGTCACTCCCCACTTTCGCCTCCACTAACAAATTTGCATATGTTTGTGGGCCTTCTGATGTCTTGAAGGCGAAAGTGGGGAGTGACCAGGGATCACCACTTCGCGCCAGGATGGCTATGATTGGCTTCCTCCAGAGGTTGATTCCTTGCCCTGGGCGGATGGGATGCAGACAGGATCTTGAGAAATCCAGATATATGTTCTGATTTCTGTATGGGAAAGATGAGACCGTATACATTTTGGGATTTCATTTGATGACAGCAATAAAACGAGGAGCATGGAAATGCAGCTGACTTCCAACATCGTTCAGGGTGATTTGTGTTGAACGGGTGTGTTGCGGGTCTTGACAGGTCGTTTGGGCCACAGTTGTGAGAGAATGCAAGGGACCTTAGGCTTGGAGAACACCAATCATGGATACTATGTATATATCGTATGTACCCTCTGGTAATTTAACATAGCCATGGAAAATCACCATTTTTTAATGGGAAAACTCACTATAAATGGCCATATTCAATAGCTATGTTAGTTTACCAGAGGGTATATCGTATATACTTATGATACTTATGACTTATGATCTTATGATAAGAGATACGTGTATATTTCATATGAGTGCCCCCCCTCCAAAAAATGCATTTATGCAGGGTTTTGAGACATTGCTGCCCCCAACACCTTTTTTGTAAACATTTCAATGGAGCCGTCCTGAACCTAACTGCATTTGTTTAAGTGCTTGGTTTTGCAACTGTGATTGACGAAAGGGTAATAGAAGCTGTCTATGTAGATATCTACATCATTGATCCATTATATACAATGAGTGTAAAGGTATGAGTAGAAACATGTCCCAAAATTGGCATATCCAGGCAGCAGTGGTCTTGTTAAGTATCGTGCTGTTGTTTGTTTTGTGGTGAATCGACATGACCCCCACGAAAGAGGGGATTCTTCTACGGATTGAGAAATGTAATTGCCACTAACAATATTAAAACAAATCTATTGTTAGTGATACTAAACCAATAGTAGTGGCAATAGTAGTGGAACCCAATATTCTAACAATATTAAAACCAATCTATTTACCTAACAATAGTAATTGCCACTAACAATACTTATTGGGTTCCACTACTATAGGGAAATAGTGCGATGCGACGTCGGTCATTATCCAATGCTGTTCATTGGGAGCATTTGTTGGCATCACAACAAAATGTCTGCCATCAGCTTAAACCCTGCACAATTTTACACCCGTCCGAAAATGGGACATTTATATTCACAAAATCTATGAAAGTTGCCTAAATCAAGGGATATCACTGTTTCGGATTGGGCTGAAAGCATCCTTTGAACTACTAAACATGGGAATTGTTCTGGATAGGTTCCAGGTGGTTTTTTGCTGCATTCTACTTTGCTGTGACCTAACCGTACGCCGGGCAGCAGTTTTTTGCTCGCTTCCCTTGTCGCAGAACCATCTAACACTCACTCAAGAAGTGGCAGCTTGGCCTCTAGTTGCTGAAAATGGTGCTTTGGGTCTGTTGGGGCCCTGAAGTTTTGAAAGAGACATGCCCAAACCTAACATGCCCAAACCTATCTAGGAATCTATATAATTAGGTGGGTTTCGAAAATCATGCACTCCAACGCATCAGCCACCTTCAAGCCAGGGGCTCAATTAAGAGCACCACCCCAACCAAGTTTATCACCCACCTTCAACCCAGCCAACGAAATCAGTTGAATCATTCAGCCGATATTTTCCATCAGATATCTATCCCACATGATTCAGCCATAGAACATAGATGCTGATATACATTATAATAGGGTTATCTATCAGATATCTATCCCACATCTATACTCGATATCTATCAGATAAGTCATCCAGATGGATGTAAGAAGAATATGGATGGATGATCTATACCAGATATCTATCAGATAAGTTATAAGTTTATCATCCATTTTGTTTTTACTGTTGTTCATTTTCCTTTCATCAGCGATTTTCTTTGCCACCCCGCCATGGCGGAAGCTGCGGCCTGCGATGCGGCCCTGCCGTTGTTGCAAGCGGCGTTGAGTGCGGCAGGTGGGGTAGAACTGCATCATATGGGGGTTTTCCATCAATGGGGGTACCCCAAAATGGATGGTTTATTTCATGGAAAATCCCATTAAAAACTGATGATTTGATGATTTGGACGTACCCATATTTCAGGAAACCTCCATATAATTAAGCGTTCAAACCAACTGAAAAGTAGTTTTACTAGATTGAATTGGGATTGAACACAAACAGCATGATATTACTATGGCTGATCACCTGGTGCCTAAAATTGAACACAAACAGCATGATATTACTATGGCTGATCACCTGGTGCCTAAAATAGTACGTTTTGATGGGGATGGAATCTAGAAAAGAACTGTTGGTCTCACGCCAGTTATTGTTAGCATATACCTGTTATATACCTGTTATTATTGCTGGTCATATTCCCAGTCGGTGCGTCTGTGGTGCCTTGCAAAGTTTTCTTAAAACGTGTTGGGATGATTCTTTTGGGGGACCTTAACCTTCGAGGAAAGGTTTTTCGGGTGATGAAAAACGCTGATGTGTTCATAGTCTTCCTGAAGTTCCGATATACTGTTTAATTGTTGCATGGAAGTGTCCCACAAATTCAATGCCCAATGATTCTAGATTCAATGCAAAGTCATTGGATTTGTTATGAGTATGTGCAATGTTTCCCATACTTTCCCATATTTTCCCATAATTGATATTCAATGCTCATCCTCCAGTTTATAAATCCCCATATAAATCATATAAATCCATATAAATCCCCATTCACTGCCCATGTTTTGGGTCATTTCCTCAGTTTTCGGATCTTCCAAGCGCCCAGACTAAACAGGTGGCTTGATCCCGCGGGACTTCTCCGGACGTGCCGGGGATTGGCTCGGTGGCATGGGGTTTACCACATTACTTATAGACTTACTGTCTAAATATGTAGAATATGTTGATGAATATAGTTGATGAATATAGTTGTGCTTTTACTTTAGAAGTGGTGATTGAGCATATGTCTTGATACATGTCTTGATACATGTGTTAATGGCCATGGTTAATAACTTGGTGGGTTGTTGGGATATTCACGACAGAAGGATGACTCGATGACTATATAAAGCCCTGATCGGATGGCTGGGTTTGAACCTACTTCTTCCTGCCACGATCTTCCATGTTCTTTTGGAAATCCAGTAGACCATATGACCGAAACGTGCGAAAATCCCAAGGATATGATCTGGTTTCCATGTCTTTTTCTCTGAAGAGCTCAGGGGCTTCCAGAGAAGCACCAAATGCTGCACCTTTTAAAGGTGTGTTGCTGAACATCAACGATGCCGCCGGCTTGATCTTCAGTGTGCAGGTGCCATTGGTCCCATCCTTTGTCACACTTAAGCTTAATGTCGTACGGCGATGAGTAAAAATCCTGGCACCCTACGCAACCTAAAATATCTGGTTAACACATGTTTATTCCCAAAATATATATCAAAATATGTAAAATATGATAGGTTTTGACCCATCCCCATACATGTATCCAAATCACCATGAACATGTGTGGGGATGAACTGTTACGTTTTGACAAGATAGCTGTGGTGAATGGTTGTGGATTATGTTCTAGCCATGTGGATGGATGGTTTCCAGGGCCATTTCCAAAAGTCATTCCTGACATTCTATGTGCTAGAAAAACTTGATTATCGATCTGATCCATTTAACACTTTGATTCCATACATGTCTAATGTATACAGTATACAGATTATATATATATTGTGTATACAGTATACAGATTACATATGCATATGGGATATGGAATAGTTCACAACACTTTGCTTCGAAACATGACCCGCTCATTTCACTTCCACATCACATGCATCCAGCCCGGCCAGGGTGGATCCGGCACTGCCACAGTGGAACGATGGAGCGGCGGCGCGTCTCGGGTGGACACCACGCGTCTCGAGCCAAAGATGGGGAAGGGGGATGAAATGGGGACTGATCATTTTTTTCAAGGGATGCCATGGGATACTACTGTGATATGTGATCAAATTATAGGAATACCATGGGATATAGATGGATATAGCTGATATATTCAGCTCAATTTTTTTTTTTACAACACACATCATTACGTCGGATGTCTCCGGTGTATGTTGGTTGTTATCTTGGAGATCAAAGGAGCTTACGTCGGATGTCTCCAATTTCCAGATCCACACCTGTCGAGGATTCGCTTCGATTCGGTGAACTCCTTGCGAAAAGCCTTGCAGGACGGACTTCCCAATTTCCTCGTAAAGATTGGCAGGGTAAACCATCAGTAAACCATCATTAGTAATCCATCATTAGTGATTAACCATCATTAGTAACCATACTTAGTAAAACATCATGGATACTGCATGATCATGGATCATCGATCATGATATATTTGAGATTTCTGTTTGAAGATATCCAAAGAGTTAGAAAAAAAAGGAGCTGGAATGGATCCGTGGCTTGAACACAGCCAACTGAGTTTTGGACACAGCCGCGTGAGTTCCTTGTTGGTTCCTGTGGAAGTACAGTAACAGTCCCACCGGAGATGTGTTTTAATCGGCACCCTTCAGGCGGTCCTGGCAAGGACATCCATAAATTTTCCATCCATCGTCTCATGACAGGTAGAAGATGAGCTCGAGCTCAGAGAAACGTGAGGTACATCAATGATTTTTTTGTTACATCAATGACTCTTGGTACATCAATTTGGTACATCAATGTCGCTAATTTTTGATACATCAATGACTCTCAGACGTCTGATGCAGCTAATTTGGTTCAAGCAATTTGTGATTCTCATTTACCTGACTCTTCCCCAACGATGTCAGACATGTCTCGGACTTGCATGGAAGAAGCCCCCGCACGTGCCAGACATGGAACTTGTCGAAACGCATGGGGATGGGTGAAGACACTACTGACAGTACGCCTTGTGCTGGCTGTGGTCCCTTTGTTTTATATTTTGGAGGGCCAGTGGCTGGAACTGCCCATTCAATGCAGTTGGAATGTGGTGTGCTACTATAATGTGTTCCAGAAAGTTGTGGTCAAGAGCTTGGGTGAGAGCGCATTGTTCCCAACCTCCAAGTGTCTCATGAAGCATTGGCAACATGCTGTGAAAGACACGCAAGCGAGAGAGACCAATATCATTTCAGTTTGCTCCTTGAATTTCGCTTGCTGGAACGATGTTTGCCCCAATCTCACACAAGTCAGCTGGAAGACACTGCCATCCTTCAGATCTTGCTTGCTATATGGCCCCCAAAATGATCACTGTGGGACAGAGTCTGTACCCATCACTGTGGCAGATGTTGACAGTACTTGCCGGATGCCTTCTGGCTCGTCTCCCACAACTGTTGAATTCAAAGAGAGGCTTAAAATGGCTTAAAAGAAGTAGGAGTACCAAGCGCTTCCTGAGCACCCTCTACCAGAGCCATTGCAGTTTGGACCCCGAGAAGCGAGAGCATGTCGAGGCATTCTTGGCAAAAGAGGTGCAAATCATGGATGAGGACAAGGATGGTTATGTCACCAGAGAAGAGTGTGAGTCATACGTTAGAAACCATGTTGTTCACGAGAACAAAGCCCTTCTGTTGAGCAACCCAGGCGAGGCAACACCTGAGCTTTGCAATGCTTTCGCTCGTTTTGGGTCCTTCGAAACTGAGAAAGTTTATGGCACCTGCGGCTATGACTTTGAAGTCCAGGCTCCCTCTGATCAACATGGCCGCTGGTTATTGGACATGCCGCTGGCAAGCGCAGAGAATCGCACAGAAGCCATTCACACATATCTACAGCCTGATAGGGATTCTGAAGGGAACTACATGTCATATCAAAAACGAATTGTTTTCTTGATTTCTCTACAAGGAGGACTTCTCACAGAAGACGCTCAGACAGCCATCAAAACCTTGCTTGAACTCACCCACAAATCTGGTGTGATCCTCGAGGGAGGCAGCATGCTCGAATATGATGCAAAAGAGACGACGGAAAGAGTGATCAGCCAACTCAGTGAACGCATCCACATCTACTGGTTTGCATTTGGCGATGATGATGGTTTGTGGGACTACATGAAATCACTGCCTTCAGTTGATGAAGAGGAGGTCGAGGAGTGGAACAAAAAAGAGATTGCGGGGACTAAACATGATGTGAAACAATGTCAGGTTCAATTGCAACATCTGCAAAATGAACATCATCAACTTTACACGCAATACCTTTCAGATGTGCGAACGTTACGAGATGACCTGGACGAACTGCACAGGCGCCAAGAGGTTGAACTCGAAGGACTTCGCTCCGAAATGATGCAACTTAAACATAAAGGCATTCAGCACTCTCGCGAGTTCCAACAGGTTCGTAAGAAACTTGATCAACTTCACAAACTTGAAGAAGATTTATATATGAAGTTTAGTAATACCTTCCCTAGGTGATGCGTACCTCAGGGTCGTAGCCATCCTATCAACCTCGCAGTTGAACAGGTTCTCTCTTTCTTTTGTGCATCTCAGCAGATCTCAATGGCACGGGCCCAACCATCGGCAAGGGAATCAATACCAACAGGCTGCTGGTGGTGAGCGAATGATGACGCAAACTGTTTTCCAATGCCAAACTGTTCTCTGGAAAATGAATGTTCTGAGCATCTTGTATACAGGATGCTGAGGACATTGGTTTTCCAGAGAACAGTTTATAGTGCTTTAATACAGAATGCGAACCATGTTCAAAAGCAACATGGCGCGTGTCAGAAAGTCGGCATTTTCGCCGCACAACAGGACTGTTGCGATGGGAGTATGGTCGCAAAAGAACTGCGATAGATAAATGTAAATTCCTATTTTATAGACGAAACATATTAATCATGTTCTTTTCCATGCGTGAATATGTTTGCATTTGGCAAATCAGTTTTGGATTGCCTTTCTATCTCGTTTGTGCAAGTCAGAAAAGTTTGCTTAAATTTGTGCCGCCTCTTAGGGGGCGTTTACCTTGTGACATGTTGTTTGATTATGTCCGTTCTAGGCAGTATTGGATTCCATCAGAATAACAATGACAATGCTACAAAACTCCCTTGTTCTTTATCCACTCTATCCATCAGTGGTTGGTGGGTTTGATGGTTCGATGCTCATCCAATACTCTCGTCTCCATGCTTGGGATGATGCCTCCACCACTGACCAGAAAGACTAAGCAGCACTCGTTTGGTGCTTGGAAGAATCTGGAAATATGGGTTTGTCTGAATAATCATGGTATACCAAAACACCCATGGTTTAAAACCTCATTTTGGCCAATTCAAGCGCATTGAACTGCAGATATTGTGGATAATCCCGAAATTTCAATCACACCATGACGACGATGCCGCAGGACCAAAGCGCGGTGCCCGTGCTTTTGATGCGTCGCAAACTCCGATTGCAGGGCGAAGTTTGGCAGCACATGTTGTTTCAATATGTTTCCATGTTTTTTTTTGCATTATAGCAATGTTCTTTTAGGGGGAAATGATGTTGTTAATCTAAACCATTGGGGTTTGGGGCGCAATGTCTTCACACAGCCCCATCATATAGATACAACAGGCTGCAACAGGAATATGTTACTATCTTTTATGTAGCCTGTGTAAACATCCGACTTGGAGACAAGACGGAGTAAAATTTGGGAGAGCAGTTGGTAACTGTGTCATTTTGAGGGTTTGAAATTCTCAAAAATAGATGACGCCATAAAATGGTTGTTAGTAGTGCTTCCTCTAATGGCCAGGTAATGTTCAAATGGGACAATCCACCACACTTGATGAAAAATCTGTCCTGAACTTGGCAGTGAAACCCTACAACATGATGATCAAGGATATTCAGGAGATGAATTCATGTTTGTTTAAACAACATTATCCTACAACATGGCAATGAAGTCCTGGGGGTTCCCTTCAAAATGGATCCAAAACCTTGGTAAGATGAAAGAATGACAGTGTTCTCGAAAGACACGGTCAAGCCATCAACCGGATTAGTGGGATATAGTGGGATATAGTGGGATTAATGACTATTACCCGTAATATCTATCAGTGATCAGTGGCTGCTGCACCTGTGCTGGGATGGAACCATTTGTCACACATTTTAAGTAAATGGAGCATATCGCATGAAGCGACACATGATTGCAGCACCCGCTTAAATCAATGGGATCTGGGAGAATGGAGTGATTTTCGTACTGCAAGCCTGTGCATCCCCAAAGTTGATGGTTGAATCAGTTTTTTTTTTTTTTTATAGCGCTATTCATCAGCTACTGAATTAAAAAATAAAAATAAACAAAAGCAGAATCGAAGATGCGCAAACAGTCCCCGAAAATTATGATACCTGCAATCATCAGTTACCAGCAAACTTACCATCACTCTACTGGCTATTGGATTCATGTTGGTTAAATGTTAAACCATATTTGGGATGATGATCACCAATGACGAGCCTAAGCACCAATCAGAAATAGATTGGTTAGTAAGTGGTAGTATCACTTTTGAGTGGTGAAATCAAGTGTTTAATCCTTACAAGCTCATGCCACCTATCAGCAACAACATATCATCTGTAGACAATCTTATGGTATCACTTTTAACAACCTTGTAAGTTATCTAACTGGCCCATAAGTGATACCAAAAGTGTGGAATAACTATATCTATTGATCTAGTGCAACCACTTTATGAGCGATACTGACCAACTATCCATAACTCATGGTGACTCACCAACTTATCTAACTTAAAGTATAATCACTTTTAGACACTTTATTTTAACCACCTCATAACTGGTTGGTGGTTCGGAACATTTGTTTTTTTCCCATTCAGTTGGGAATAGTAATCCCAAATGACTTTCACATTTTTCAGAGGGGTATAGGTCAACCACCAACCAGATAAATTTATCTAACTTTGCCATAGCTCCTCCCCACCCCCGCACCAAGGACATGTCTCTCATGGCACAGCTGGGCAGCGGCGACGTTTCCGCCTCGTCGTCCAACGCGGCGCTGGCGAAGGAGTTCACCCGAGAGTTGGACGCGGCGCCTCGGAGTCCGTCGGAGGGCCCTGTCATCGTTGGGATATAGAAACACTATGACTATGGGATACTATGGTTATAAAATGATATAAACACATGACTTTTTAATGGGATAATGATGGTTAATGATGGTTAATCATGGTTAATAGTGGTTAATCATGGTTAATAGTAATAATGACTGGTTGGTGGTGACTGGAACCATTGATTAACTATGGTTTATGGTAGATATAACTAGAATTAATGGGGATTATCATGGTTTATAAACCAACAAACACTGGTTGGTGGTTTGGAACATGGCTTTTATGACTTTCCATATATTCGGAAAGAAAAACCACGACGTTGGGATGATTTGGCAAATCACAGTACCCGCTGGTAAACATACAGAAAACTATGGACAGATCCACCATTGTTAGTGGGTAAATCTACAGTAACAACATTTAAATATGTGGAGGGCGGGCCAGACCGCGAGGCCACGGAGGTAGTATGAAATACCAGTTCGTATATTTAAATGTAGTCACGGTACGTTTAAATGACTTGGATTCCGTATGTTTAAATGGCCGGGCGGGCCAAGAAAAACCTTCCCCGTATGTTTAAAAGTCCGTATATTAAAATGTAGTTACCGTATTTCTATGGCCATTTTCAATGGCTATGTTAGTTACCAGAGGGTAGAAACTCGATGACTATGGGATATGGTTATAAAATACGTACGTATACTTCTATGGTAATGGGATAGTTATATATATATATTTATACACTATGGTTATCAATACATATACTCTATGTTTTTTTGGTATATACATGTATATACGGATGTCAATATATTATATTTGTATATGGACTATATAAATGGTATATATCTATGGTAATATGCAGATGTGAATGGGTAATCCCACAAGTTGGGGTAGCCCAACCGGGATCAACGGTTTGAGCTGCTCGGGTCATTATGATTGCTGGGGAAAAAAAAATCACACTGGCCAATCCAAGCCCGAATATGGCTAAGTGATTTGGATTTGTTCAGACAAAATACAGTTGATAAGCAAATATGGCCTGTATTGGATTTGTTCAATCATGTGAATAATAGAGTCTAAGATTTTGCCTGACAATTGACCACTATGATCAGTTGTGCTCATCCTTTGCTGCAGATTCACCGCCCCAAGTTCTGTTGCCACCACTACTGCCATTAATAACCGGAAGCCTATTTGATTGATCAAAACTGCGCCAGTTTAAACTGGAAAAGTCACTGTTTTTGTGACCCTCCATTGCTCATCAAATGCAGGTTTCTGAATCTTGGGTAAACATGTCCATGAGCCAGGTTCAATCCCCACTATTGTCGCTGAGATCACCAGTTCAGTTGTTTAAATCATCTTAAATCATCATTTCAGTTGTTCAAATCACCATTTCAGCTGGTTCAATTCCAGCTTTTGTTGCTCAAAGCAGCATTCAGTAGGTTTAATCACCGTTTCACTGTTTCACTTGCTTCAATCCCCATTTTTGTTGCTTTAATCAGCATCTTCTTTGGTTAAACCACCATTTCAGTTGGTTGAATCACCATTTTTTGCCCCTGAAATCCTTCAATTTAGCAGCTTTTAATCACCATTTCAGTTGGTTCAATCCAGTTCAATCACCATTTCCAGGTTCGCTCAGCTCATCCTAAGGCCATTGCCGCCTCCAGCAACGCCGCGCGCGGCGCTGCTGACAGCGTGGCCAGCCTCCGGCGGCGATCGCTGGAGAGCGTGGTGAGTTTGGAGAGTTGCGACTTGGAGAAAGCCCTGGGTACCTTGGGTGATTGTCATGAACATAGTAGGAAAACACTATAAAAGTATGAATGGTACTTAAGCTATGGTAATTTCAACTATCATAATACTATTTGTTTATATCAATATGCTACTTTACTTCGGGAGGTGCATTGAAATTAGTCTGTCTAGAGGTTTATCTATTACCCACTTACGATTTGGGGGATAGTAGGGGCAAATCAGGTGCTTATATAGTAACTTCTTGCAGGATTTTGTAGATTCCAACTGTTGGTATATTATAAGTATCCAGTAGCACTGGATTTTATATATCGTAACTTCTTGGGGTCCCAACAGTTGATATTCCATAAAATTGGTGCCAACTGTTGGCGAAGATGAAGGGATCCAAGGGATTCACATGGGTGCCACCAAAATCAGGATCTCAACCCACCAGACGTTGGTGTTTGTGGCACGCGACATGGAAAGAAAAACCACGACGTTGGGATGATTTGGCAAATCACTGTACCCTCTGGTAAACATACAGAAAACTATGGAAAGATCCACCATTTTTGATGGGTAAATCAACTATTTCTATGGCCATGTTCAATAGCTACGTGTGTTTACCAGAGGGTAAATCTGAAACTACCAGTAAGATTCGGTAAGACCATGATATCGATGGAACAAATCCATTGGGAAGCTGGGAAGGTCGGGCGAAACTCGTGAGTTCTTCAAGCAAAAACTCGTCAGGATGTCAACCAATGGGAAGGTTGCGAAGAAAACGGGAAGTCAAACTAAAACATGCTGACTTGAGCAAGAACGTTGCATGTCTTTTAGCAAGTATACAGTATACAACTAATTAACAGCCACCAAGATCCACCAAGTATGTGAATATGTGCTTGAGCGATGAAGGTCGCGATCAACAAACATGGGCATTTCCAAGCAAAATTAATGATAGGAACTTTGGGGAACCGAGAGCATTGGGTTGGCACGGTATGCTGCACACACTGGGGATTTAACAAGATAAGTGGGGGCCAAACCAATAAGCGAAAGGGGATGGTCATCCCATGTGATTCCCCGGTAGGGGTCAGTATTCCCATTGGGGTGTCTCATTCATGATGGCGGTGTGACAATAATGTTCCATACCCTTTTAGTCCCATATAATTTGACCATGGCACATATGTTGTTTACTGTTATTCTGTCTTCTCAGATCACCAATCATGGGACATACCAAACTGTGCCTGGCACTTCACCTCGTTCGCTGAGGAGAGTTGCTGAGGATTAAAAAAACCAACATCAGAGTGACAACATCTTCTATTTGGGACTGACCAAAGAGGAACAAGACACACACACATAGTCTATATAATTAATTACAGAACAAAATCAGGAACTTAATGACCGAATCTAGACACAGCATGTCATGGCACCACTTTGTTTCCTATTCAGAAAAGCTGGAACAAACAAACACGTTTGTACATTTGACTTGTTTCTACAGTCACTTGGTTTCCATGTGTTTCCATTCAAAATGAGGAGCTTCAACCCACTTGGCCACTTGGGTTGCTGTTCAACCCACTTGGGCACTCCTATGTTCTATGCCATGAGTGCCACAGCCCTTGACGCTCCCAGCCTGCGCCAAGGCAGCAGCTGGGTGCCCAATGAGGCTTCGCAGTGCTGCCAGGAGTGTAGCAAGGCCGGATGATCTGCTGATGCTGTGGAGATGTCCGAAACTCATCAAAAACCCCTACTAGACCTGATTATTTACCCCCAGTTTAGTGCCTCTTAAATCTGGGAAAACCGAGGTTTCTGATCCTTGGGAATTGGGGTAATTTAAATCCCAACATGTTGTGAGAAACCCATTTGAGATCCCCCATCCCATCCATCCGAAAAAACGCCGCTGTGAGACCTTCAACACCTTCTGGCGGCGGCACCACTGTCGTTTCTGCGGCCGCCTGTTGTGCTCCACTTGCGCCCCTGTCGTGCAGGTGCGGACGGCATGGAGATGAGTCATTGGGGGTACCCAATGCCCACGAGACGTTGGCCGTTTTGGGAATATTGGTTTTGGATAGTCTGAGACCATTTGGGTTGTGAAAAAAAAGTTCGGAAACACAGAGGCTTGGCATTTTCGATATTGAAGCATCCCATTTGAGGGGAATATTGGATCAATATTTGCTGCAGATGGATTTCCGACATTTTACAGGATGGTTTTGTGGAAAAGCTAGTGTTGTTGCTTTCCGCATTCTTGGGTTACCTGTGTCCACCTTCTGAGTCGGTCATGTTGAACCCAAAATCCACAGGAGAAATCCACTTTGGTGGCATTCCAATATCTATGACCTAGTAGAAAAATGTAGAAAATCAATGAAAATCATGTTGAATCTAGTAGAAAATCATGTTTAATCTGAGAATTAATCTGTCCATATTTGTCCACTGTAGTGGACAGGGATCATCGATGCCATGTTTTGAAACCTTTTGGACGGAAACAGCACCAGGTACACCAGGTCCACCAGGTCCCAGCCGCCTCAGGAAGAGAGCAAGGATTGCTTGGCGGTGCTGGGCCAGGCGAGCTTTGCGGCGAGCTTCGGCTTCGCGGCTCCGACCTCCAAGTTGCCACCAACTTGGAGATTTCCTATGGTGGGTGCCCCTAAATCATACATGTTAAGAGGATATTCCATTCTAAACCATCCATTTGGGGGTACCCTCCAATTTTAAGAAACCCGCATATCAACCATGAATGTTGGGAGCAAATTTCCGTGCAATCCGAGCTGAAATTCTTTGTCATGTGGCATTTGTCATTGGTTTTTCGGGTTGCTGGAGGTTCATGGTAAAGGTTCTATATAGTTTTCATTTCAACCCCAGAAGTTGTTGTATTGATTGTATCGCCGGTCTGTAGCTTGCAATCCCAACTGGTGTTTTGGGGTGTATTGATTTGGAGTGTTATGCCTCGCAGCAGTTGTTAAAGCCGTTACAACCCATTTTTTGTTGGTTAAAAGTTAAAACCCAGGTTTGATCGTGATGCGACCATTAAATTGTCATCCAAGTAGTTAAGCTCTATTTTTTCTATGCCTGACAAGTTCAATTCCTGGCCTTGACTGGTGAACTCTTGGTTTAATATGGTTTAATCACCATTTCAGTACTTTGAATCCAGACTTGGTGAGGGAGATATTCTTTCGTGCCTGGTCAAATCTGGTTACTTCGGTTATATCTCCATCTTTGGCCAATAGAATTCCTAGTTGAGACAACTCTTGGTCGTATAGATGGAATCCGTTTTTTTTGCCAGGAGCCGGATCTTGGGCATGGTTAGATCCTGATCTTGGGACATTACAACATCTTTGTTATCCAAATATATCCAAATTCAAAGGTTCGGTTTCCACTTTTGTTGCCGTTAACCCCCTTAGTTTTGGCTCTTGAAATCCAGATGAAATGCGAAATCCTCCATATTGATCTTCGATTTTCTTAAATCATTTTAAATCACCGGATTTTTCTTGGCATGGATCGGATAATATATGCGTTTGTCTGAAAATGAGGTATGGTTGCCATTATATATCCCATGCTATTCCCATTGAATGATCACCATTATGGTTGGAATCACCATTAAATCCCATCAAATCCCATTAAATCACTTTTAATTTCCACTGAATCATTCTTTAGTCCCACTAAATCACTTTTAATTCCCATTAAACCACCATTACTGTAATTCCCATTGAATCATTATTAATTCCCATTGAATCAGATCATATATTCCCATATTTTCCCTTTTGTTTAGCTTTCAGATCTTGAACCTCCCACGGTGAAACGTGCCAGTCCCGGCGCGGGGTGCGACGCTGCGCCAGCTGCACCTTGGAGTTGGCGGATGGCGCGCAACCAGTGGGGTTGCCCCAGCGGTGGGAAAATGTGGGATTTCAACGGGAAAATGTGGGGAAACTGGGAGAAGAACCATGGATAAATCATGGAAAACTGGCTGGTGCTGACTGGAACATGGCTGGATTATGACTTTCCATATATTGGGAAATTTGGGAATAGTGACCCCAACTGACGAACTCATATTTTTCAGAGGGGTTGAAACCACCAACCAGATGGATAAATGATGGCAAGTGGGAGAAGAACTAGGAATTGGGTGGATGGATTCCTGGATAATCATGGAGAAATCCACCATGGGGGTTAATTAGTCAATGAATATTCATGGTAAATTATAACGACCTCACTGCGACCTCACTGCGACCTCACTGGAATCATGGTTAGTAGGGGGAATCATCCCCAGATAGCCTTAATTCAGGTTAGTGACATATTATAATTTACCCAGATTCATGGATGCTAATGGCTGATAATGGTCTGAAAGAAGGAACATGTTCATATTCAACTTTTCTATAGGGTATGTTATGATATCATCATCAACTTGCTATGAATTGGGTGGTTTCTTAAGAATGCAGGTACCCCCAAATCATTTGAGTCATGGATGATCATTATATTCCAAAACCTGGTGACTTGGGGTACCTGCTTCCTTTTAGGAAGCCTTCATATGGCCACATGGACAAATAACATAAAGAAAGACCATGTTGACATGTTTAATCTTTAGAGGATTTACAGAGGTTTCTATTCCATCAGCGCAGAGAGGATGGATTTAACCAAAATGGATTGTTTTTTCCAGCAACAGAAACTGGTCAGTCTTTCCAAAATGGAATGAAGAATCAAAGCTGCATTAGTGGCAAGTCCTGGAGAACCATCGGCTGAGTCGATCATGTTTTTGTTTTAATGACCCTTTGGTAAACGTGAACAAAAAACAATGGAAAATCACCATTGTTAATGGATAAATCCACTATAAATCACCATTTTCAATAGCAAACTGTTTGTTTACCAGAGGGTATGTTCGGGATTAATTTGAACAAACTCAATACCATACAAAGATCCAATATATGGCATATACTAGACATTTTCAGGAAGAATGATTTCTTGGGATATCATAGTGATACAATACATTCAATGTCAATAACTGTTAGGCTTACTGTAAAGGCATTAATTCACCAACTTGAACACAGATTCGGGATGTAAGTGCAACCATCCTGAAGTACCTCCTTGCAGTAGTCCAAGTTCATCTTCCTTGTTTCATAGTCCCAAAGGAACAATCGAGCAAGGAATTCTGGTTGATTTTCCACCGAAACATTGAAGGAAACGAATTGATTCTACTATCCACGTCTAGATGAATTAAACTTACTTATCTTCAAAAAGTTAAAATGGTAATTACACACCTTATCCTACTTATCCTACTTATCCTACTTATCTCCATTACTTATCTATGGAATGGGCACCAGGCGCGCCTGAGCCGTCGTGAGAGTCTGACCAGCCTGACCAGCGACACGGCCGTGGAGGCACGGTCAGTGAAGCCCTTTGTGGGATTTCATGGGAAATATAATGGTTATAAGGATATAGATGATATAGGTCATGAATAGGACTTGAATGGAATATATGATGAGTATGAGATTATAAGATACAAAGATATGATGTGATATAGTGGGATATAGAGCGTTTTGGTTGGTTTATTATTGGTTGTCTATTCTATTCTGATTTCCACATCAATTCTGGAGGCTGAATCATCAGCTTGACGATTGTTGCCAGTTTATGGGGACACCCTGGGATATTTTTTCGGGATATACAACCAACAGCAATATTCCTGTGCAACATATCTGAGCAGCTTCGAAATCAACGGTTCATGGGGTTTAAAGGGATCAAGAATGACCCGAAGGACAAGCCGTGAAACTAGTCGTTTCTTCAAATTTAGGGAATATTAATTTAGACTACAACCATGATGTGATTTTCCAGGTGATTTCGGGTTTGATTTCCGGAGGGTCAAACCACTGAAATTCCCAGTTGGTTTCTTGGGGATCGGAGTGACACATTTTGGTCCCTTTTTTTGGTGCTTTTGAAGATGTTCTTTGGCACTTTCGTATGACGAAGCCAATAGATTTACGGCAGAATCACCAACCATTGGGACCATCGCATCACCAACCATCACCAACCAGATGGGATAAGGATTTGAAGCACTGGCACACTGAGAGCAATTATTAATAACCATTATTAACCATATGTAACATCCATGGCTTTTAGACCTAGTTTCAAGACATTTGGCCTCCATCTTGGGCCACAAGGCACCCAACTGGAATGTCATAATTATTAGTCAAAAGCATGCCTTGCTGCATCATGCCAAGCACAATATGGCATATAATAACCATTCATTATTAACCACAATGACAATAACCAATATTATAATGGTTAATAATGGTGATATTAATGAGTTATACTATTAATATCTATTAATCATATATTCTTATTAACCATTCTTAACAGTATATAAACCACAATGGTAGGTCAACCACCAACCAGACAAGCTTCCCTTCAATCCGCGTCATGGCTTCCAGGCTGCTATGGAACGGCTTCAAGTCCTCAAGGTGCTGGTGACGCCGCCTTACGGCCTTGAAGATACCTTCGAAGCTATACCACTAACCAGTTACTGGATGAATGGATGATGTTATTATTTTTTGATGATAGATATATTGCACTATATGAAAATGTGGTGTGTTTCTGAAAGTGCTCAGACCAACAGAATATGTATGATTGGAGAACATACCACAACACTATATATGTATATAATTACCACCGGGATACATGTATGGCCATGGAATATAATATAATATCTCTGTGTGACAAACATTCCACTATGTTTGCCCCCCCAAAAGATGTATACATCCTTGTATGGCAAGTATACTTCAAAATAAATATGTGACAATGATGAACAAGAGGTTCTTGGGGTACTCTTTATACAGAAACCATTGAGAATTTCTGCGGATTGGGGTATTGTACCCAGAAACCACGAGTTCTAAGCATGAGAGTTTAAGAAACCCTCATATTTAAGACCTAGCAAATATAGATTAGGACTTAGCCGCTAAGCCAAGACAAGATGGATTCTTTCACCGTCAAAAAAGACAAGATACAAATGAAACTCGGTGACAACCAATAAGGTCAGTTTCAGGATGTAGACATCCACGTAACATGGTGAATGAAAGTTCAATTCAGAAACTCAGGCACCCATCCAACCCCGAATGGATATAAGCCAACAAACTTGAACAAACATGTTGGAAGCAACCAAACAAATAACAACTAAAAAAAACTACTTGAAGTTGCAGGATGCCGCTGGCTCCTTGTTGTTTTGCTGCAGGGTGCTTTCAGCTCCTTGAAGTTGCAGGATGCCGTTGGCTCCTTGTTGTTTTGCAGGAAGCTTTTAGTGCCTTGTAGTTGTAGGATGCCGTTGGCTCCTTGTTGTTTTGCAGGATGCTTTCAGCTCCTTGAAGTTGCAGGATGCCGGTGGCTCCTTGCTGTTTTGCAAGATGCTTTCAGCTCGTTGAAGTCGCAGGATGCCGTTGGTCCCTTGTTGTTTTGCTGCAGGATGCTTTCAGCTCCTTGAAGTCGCAGGATGCCGGTGGCTCCTTGTTGTTGTTTGCAGGATGCTTTCAGCTCCTTGAACTTTCAGGATGCCGGTGGCTCCTTGTTGTTTTGCAGGATATTTTCAGCTCCGTGAACTTGCAGGATGCCATTGGCTCCTTGTTGCTGTTTGCAAGATGTTTTCAGCTCCTTTTAGTTTATAGGATGCTGTTGGCTTCTTGTTGTTTTGCAGGATGTTTTCAGCCCCTTGTAGTTTTAGGATGCAGTTGGCTCCTTGTTGTTTTGCTGCAGGATACTTTTACTTCCTTGTAGTTGTAGGATGCCGTCGGCTCCTTGTTGTTTTGCTGCAGGATGCTTTCAGCTCTTTGAACTTGCAGGATGCCGTTGGCTCCTTGTTGTTGTTTGCAGGATGCTTTCTTTCAGCTCCTTGAAGTTGCAGGATGCCTTTGTCTCCTTGCTGTTTTGCAGGATGCTTTCAGCTCCTTGAAGTCGCAGGATGCCGGTGGCTCCTTGTTGTTTTGCAGGATGCTTTCAGCTCCTTGAAGTTGCAGGATGCCGGTGGCTCCTTGTTGTTGTTTGCAGGATGCATTCAGCTCCTTGAACTTGCAGGATGCCGTTGGCTCCTTGTTGTTTTGCAGGATGCTTTCAGCTCCTTGAAAGTGCAGGATGCCGGTGGCTCCTTGTTGTTGTTTGCAGGATGCTTTCAGCTCCTTGAACTTTCAGGATGCCGTTGGCTCCTTGTTTTTTTTGCAGGATGCTTTCAGCTCCTTGAACTTGCAGGATGCTGTTGGCTCCTTGTTGCTGCTTGCAAGATGTTTTCAGCTCCTTTTAGTTTATAGGATGTTTTTGGCTCCTTGATTTTTTGCTGCAGGATGCTTTCATCTCTTTGAACTTGCAGGGTGCCGTTGGCTAATGCTTTCAGCCCCTTGAACTTGCAGGATGCCGTTGGCTCCTTGTTGTTGTTTGCAGGATACTTTCAGCTCCTTGAACTTTCAGGATGCCGGTGGCTCCTTGTTGTTTTGCAGGATATTTTCAGCTCCGTGAACTTGCAGGATGCCATTGGCTCCTTGTTGCTGTTTGCAATATGCTTTCAGCTCCTTTTAGTTTATAGGATGCTGTTGGCTTCTTGTTGTTTTGCAGGATGTTTTCAGCCCCTTGTAGTTTTAGGATGCAGTTGGCTCCTTCTTGTTTTGCTGCAGGATACTTTTAGTTCCTTGTACTTGTAGGACGCCGTCGGCTCCTTGTTGTTTTGCTGCAGGATGCTTTCAGCTCTTTGAACTTGCAGGATGCCGTTGGCTCCTTGTTGTTGTTTGCAGGATGCTTTCTTTCAGCTCCTTGAAGTTGCAGGATGCCTTTGTCTCCTTGCTGTTTTGCAGGATGCTTTCAGCTCCTTGAAGTTGCAGGATGCCGTTGGTTCCTTGTTGTTTTGCAGGATGCTTTCAGCTCCTTGAAGTTGCAGGATGCCGGTGGCTCCTTGTTGTTAATTGCAGGATGCTTTCAGCTCCTTGAACTTCAGGATGCCCTTGGCTCCTTGTTGTTTTGCAGGATGCTTTCAGCTCCTTGAAAGTGCAGGATGCCGGTGGCTCCTTGTTGTTGTTTGCAGGATGCTTTCAGCTCCTTGAACTTTCAGGATGCCGTTGGCTCCTTGTTTTTTTGCAGGATGCTTTCAGCTCCTTGAACTTGCAGGATGCTGTTGGCTCCTTGTTGCTGTTTGCAAGATGTTTTCAGCTCCTTTTAGTTTATAGGATGTTTTTGGCTCCTTGTTATTTTGCTGCAGGATGCTTTCATCTCTTTGAACTTGCAGGGTGCCGTTGGCTAATGCTTTCAGCCCCTTGAACTTGCAGGATGCCGTTGGTTCCTTGTTGTTTTGCAGGATGCATTCAACTCCATGAAGTTGCAGGATGCCGGTAGCTCCTTGTTGTTGTTTGCAGGATGCTTTCAGCTCCTTGAAGTTGCAGGATGCCGTTGGCTCCTTGCTGTTGTTTGCAGGATGCTTTCAGCTCTCTGAAGTTGCAGGATGCCGTTGGCTCCTTGTTGTTTTGCAGGATGCTTTCAGCTCCTTGAACTTGCAGGATGCCGTTGGCTACTTGTTGCTGTTTGCAAGATGTTTTCAGCTCCTTTTTAGTTTTGAGGATGCCGTTGCCTTCTTGTTGTTTTGCCCTTGTAGTTGTAGGATGCCGTTGGCTCCTTGTTGTTGTTTGCAGGATGCTTTCAACTCCTTGAAGTTGCAGGATGTCGTTGGCTCCTTGGTTTTGTTTGCAGGATGCTTTCTTTCAGCTCCTTGAAGTTGCAGGATGCCGTTGTCTCCTTGCTGTTTTGCAGGATGCTTTCAGCTCCTTGAACTTGCAGGATGCCGTTGGCTCCTTGTTGTTTTGCAGGATGCTTTCAGCTCCTTGAAGTTGCAGGATGCCGTTGGATCCTTGTTGATTTGCAGGATGCTTTCAGCTCCTTGAAGTTGCAGGATTCCCTTGGCTCCTTGCTGTTGTTTGCAGGATGCTTTCAGCTCCTTGAAGTTGCAGGATGCCCTTGGCTCCTTGCTGTTGTTTGCAGGATGCTTTCAGCTCCTTGAAGTTGCAGGATGCCGTTGGCTCCTTGTTGTTTTGCAGGATGCTCTCAGCTCCTTGAACTTGCAGGATGCAGTTAGCTGCTTGTTGTTTTGCAGGATGCTTTCAGCTCCTTGAAGTTGCAGGATGCCGTTGGCTCCTTGCTGTTGTTTGCAGGATGCTTTCAGCTCCTTGAAGTTTCAGGATGCCGTTGGCTCCTTGTTGTTTTGCAGGATGCTTTCAGCCCCTTGAAGTTGCAGGATGCCGTTGGCTCCTTGTTGTTTTGCAGGATGCTTTCAGCTCCTTGAAGTCGCAGGATGCCGGTGGCTCGTTGTTGTTGTTTGCAGGATGCTTTCAGCTCCTTGAAGTTGCAGGATGCCGTTGTCTCCTTGTTGTTTCGCAGGATGCTTTCAGCTCCTTGAAGTCGCAGGATGCCGGTGGCTCCTTGTTGTTTGCAGGATGCTTTCAGCTCCTTGAAGTTGCAGGATGCCGTTGGATCCTTGTTGATTTGCAGGATGCTTTCAGCTCCTTGAAGTTGCAGGATTCCCTTGGCTCCTTGCTGTTGTTTGCAGGATGCTTTCAGCTCTTTGAAGTTGCAGGATGCCGTTGGCTCCTTGTTGTTTTGCAGGATGCTTTCAGCTCCTTGAACTTGCAGGATGCCGTTGGCTCCTTGTTGTTTTGCAGGATGCTCTCAGCTCCTTGAACTTGCAGGATGCAGTTGGCTCCTTGTTGTTTTGCAGGATGCTTCCAGCTCCTTGAAGTTGCAGGATGCCGTTGGTTCCTTGCTGTTGTTTGCAGGATGCTTTCAGCTCCTTGAAGTTTCAGGATGCGGTTGGCTCCTTGTTGTTTTGCAGGATGCTTTCAGCCCCTTGAAGTTGCAGGATGCCGTTGGCTCCTGGTTGTTTTGCAGGATGCTTTCAGCTCCTTGAACTTTCAGGATTCCGTTGGCTCCTTGTTGTTTTGCAGGATGCCGTTGGTACCTTGTTGTTTTGCAGGATGCTTTCAGCTCCTTGAAGTTGCAGGATGCCGTTGGTTCCTTGTTGTTTTGCAGGATGCTTTCAGCTCCTTGAAGTTGCAGGATGCCGTTGGCTCCTTGTTGTTTTGCAGGATGCTTTCAGCTCCTTGAAGTTGCAGGATTCCCTTGGCTCCTTGTTGTTTTGCAGGATGCTTTCAGCTCCTTGAAGTTGCAGGATGCCGGTGTTTCCTTCTTGATTTCTTGCAGGATGTTTTCAGCTCCATGAGTTGCAGGATGTCTGTCGTTTGCTCTTTGTTGCAGCATGCATTGGATTCTTCCTGGATTTTGGAGATAAACAAATTCAGGATTGGTCTTCATCTTCTCAAGTCGGATGGTTATTTCAACACCAAGCAAGGCCAGATCCAGCATCCCCAAGCCAATCGTCGCCGCAGGAGGAGGTAGCGTCCCTGCGCAAGGCGGAGCAAAGACGCCTGGAGCTGGCGGTGCAGAAAGGTTTCTGGCAGATCTGGGTGGTGCCTTGGGCGCACCTAGGAAGTATGGAATTTGGGAATGCAGAGGTGATCTTACTCACAATTTTTTGGTGATATTGAAGAAAGGATTACCGTAAATTATCCTAAATTCGTAAATCATATTAAAATACTTTCAAAATCATGTAGTAATGTAGTATCACTGGGGTAGGTACTGGGGGGGAGTTGTCGCAATGGCATCTTGCTCCTATCAGGTCACCTATGCAATGATTGCGATGCTCGGCAAAAATCCGCATGTGAAACAATTTTGGAGCGTTTCTTGGGACCCACTCAAATGCATTTTGAACAGTGGTGCATCATGGCAGGGTTATTCAGCTTGGGTTCCAAATAGGTCAACTGGAGATTATCTTTAATTCTGTTTGATTGAACACACAAAAATATTGTAGCTGCGCTGGGTCCTGTGACAGTGACAGGGCCAATTTGGAAGTTGCAGTCATCAGCTAGTGTCTGCAGGATTGGTTCACCCCGTTTCCCCGGGCAACCAGACCAGTTCACTCTTCCACGGAGATGTTATTTTGCTCCACATCGTTTCTGACTTGTCATCCACTTAGCCACAATTTTGGGTATGGTTTCTATCCTCATCTTTGCTAGGTTCTTCATTGTTTTATCCTGGTTACAGCCTTATATTCCCCAGAGATCCTAATTTGAAACCTATGATGCATGGTGAAAATGTCCCTTGATCAGTGTTGATCTCCTATAGTTGGGGTTATATAGCTTTTCACCCCGTTCCGCGTGGTATGGCCGGAGTGGTTGAGATAGTAAACTGCACATTTTTGAACCATGGTTGACTCTCTACTTGCCCCATTCATTGTCTCAATCCCTTGTGTACTGACGGACAAGAGTTTTCCTTTAAGCACACAGGATGGGACTTTATTGTTCTTCATCAAAATAAATATATGGTTTACGATTGCATTGAAGAGGCCCTGCCCTTGCGGCATCATCGTCTCGCACCCTTTTCCAAGGCTCTGTACCTTACTCCTCTTTTGCTGGCGGCTTTCCATCATGGCCGCATGGGTCGCCATGCTCTTTGCTCCTTGAATGCTGAGGGGTTGAACAAATATAATCTGCAGAAGATAGAATATGCCAATGGACGTCCCAAACAGAAAATAGATGAAAATAGCTGTTCTACAATCATTGAAAGGGTGAGTTTACTTGTGAAAACACCCAAAGAATCAGAGAATTTTCGCGCAGAACTCGACCACTTTGATTTACCCATTGTTGCTTCAATGGCCCCTTCATCCGTGAGTTTCAACCTACGTGTTTATTGGGTCTGATTTTTGAGGATGCCCATTCCGCCATTCGTCACTGCAAACTACCTCCAAACAGGTCTAAAGGTGATGGATTTTAAGGCCAGCATCGCTATGTTTATAAGTTATAAGGAAACGCATGGGGAACCGCTGCATTGGTGGTATTTAAGTTTTCTTGGACATGTTTAGCATATTTTAGCCATGTTTACAGCTTGACATTGATGTTTAACTATCACAAAATCACCATCTTAATAGCTAAATACAGGTTTCCATCATCCATAGATTCACCATTTACCATATGGGTAAGCCTATCATACCAACCCCCCATGGTTTTTTCCCATTGAAGCCCCTCACTGCCCCGGTACCAGTGCTGTCGAGGTGCTTCACAGGTCCTCCGAGGGCTCCTTGTTGCAGCGGAACGTGCGGGTCTTCTGGTCCGCTGCCGTAGTACCTTGGTGCCATGGGGGCCGGTGCGGCAGGGAAGCAGCCAGAAATTGTCATAGGGATATATAGAGATGGATGTGGGTCAAAATAGAAGACCTAGGGGACCACAGATGTGAATGTCTAGTTTAGTATTAACCATCCAATTATTGGGGTACCTAATTTTGACCCATACCCAGATATAGATGGATATAGTATAGTTAACCAGCCCCCAAAAAATGGAAACGTTTGGACACCTACAAGATAATACGGGTTGGCCCAAAAAGTCGGGGGTATAACCGAATTGATATGGCCCAATATGGCCATGTCATGATATAATCGGCAAGACCTCGTAGCAACGTCTATACTGGTCGGTTTATGTTGGTTACAAAATTCGGATGGGGAGTACAACTGTCCAGCATAGTTTTGAAGGGCCAGAATTTATGTTGTTGGTCAGGTTGTTTTTCCTTGTTTCCAGCGATTGGTTCAAAGTGATGTTAGCTGTTAAGTGCTCACAGGTCTTGAAGAGACAATTGTTTATTTCCAAAACATGCTTTCTCGCATTGACACTCTGAAACTGTGTTGGTTTCTGTGTATCTCTTGTCGTGTTGGTCGTCATTTAGCATGATTGTTGGTAGATCCCCACTTTTGTTCAAGCAGTCTACTTCTGCTCTGTGGAGACTCATTGTCGTCTCTACTCGCTATTCGAGAATTATACTGGAATGCATCAGTTCATCACTCCAGCACCAGCATCTGGCCACAACCATATGGGTAGTACATGGTAGTACTATATACATCTACTAAGTAGCCCACTTCATTCCATGCTTGATCCTCATTTCTTCCCTTCAAAGTTGCCATGGGATTCTCTCCCTAGCCAACGGCCTCAACCAACCTGGAAGGGATGAACAGCATGGGATATGTCATAAGTGCAAGAGGTTGTTGCACTGTTCAACCTTTCTATTGGATTCGTATATTAACATAGGATATTAACATTCGCAATCTGCAACTTCTGTTATCAATCAGATTTCTAGTGGATTTCTTGATATATATCCCACTTTTGATTCGTTTTTCTGAATCTATGAGTTTTGCTGGTTCAATCCTTTCCGATCGCCATCAGGAACTTCAACTATTCCATGGCGATATGCCCGATCTTTCCCAAGTCTGATGGTGATGTTCCTGATTTTTCTAAGTTCATGTTGCACCAAATCAACTCTAAAATCAGCATAAATCACGATATTTCCATGACCTTAGTCAGGGATCATCCAAGACCTTCCCACGTTTCTTCACCGCAGCGAAACGTCACAGGTGACTTGTGCCTTGCTGGCCACACGTTGGAAGCTGCGATCGCTGAACCTCTCGGAGGGCGAAGACTACCGCGCCGAATGGGATGCCACCAACGAGGCGAAAAACTAACGGTGGCTGGGGATGTTCCTGATCTCTAGTGAAAAAGGTTTAAAAAAACCAGCCAAAAACGCATAGAATTTCTTTGTGTTTAGTTTGTCTATTCTTTTTTGAAAACCCCCGAAAAAAAGATGGAACAGTGAAATTGCTATATCTTTAAAGTATATAGTGAGAAATTGCGTTACTATGTTTATTTGGGTATTGAAAAATGATCAACATAGAATGGAATCTCAACAACTGTGGGGAATCGATATAGAAGCACCGTATGTGTATCCGTTTGTAGGGTTCCAATCTTCGTGTGTCACACAGGTGCCACGAGTGTGCAGCAACCAGTTTTGTGGATATGTATATGGATATGTATTTCTGGTTGGTGGTTTCAAACATTATTTATGTTCCATAATATATGGGATAATCATCCCATATCATCCCAACTGACTAATATTTTTCAGAGGGGTTGAAACCAACCAGATTTTCTCTGTGACATTGGCATCATTTGCTCTATTCTGCAACTGGCCTGGTTGTGTTTCCATTGAACATCATTCCAACAGATTCAGATCATGCGCTGTTTTCTTCACCAAAAACAGCCAGTCAGATCGTCAGGTCTTAGCTCGGTTCTTATATCAGCAGATCTTGAAGTCGCTTGGATTGGGAGGTGATTTGGGACCTCAAGGGATTTCTTTGGATATTCATATGATTTCCTGGTTGGTGGTTTCAGACATTTTTTATTTTCCATAATATATGGGATAATCCTACAACCACCCACCAGTTTTCTCTGTTTGTACATTTGTTCATGCGTCTTTAGATTTTTTTAGCGGGGTCTACAAGTTCAAGTTGCCAGGGGTTATGGCCGGGATTTTTGGGTGTCCTTCAATGTTTGATATGTTTGTTGGTTTCATTGAAAACGGGAACTGATGTCAATGCCTGCAGGAATATATACAGTTTCAAATTCATTCGGGGGTTCCTGTTGCCCGAAATCAAACACGGTAATAGACAAGTACAATCGTTCAATGGGATATTTATTTATAAGCACAGGGTTGGGGCATTGACCATGTTTCTTTGATTCAACATCTCGATGAAACTCAATTGTTAATTGATATTGCTCCTAGCACTGTTTTCTCCTGCAGCTAATTTACACTTAGAGTTGTTGTACCTGGCCTTTTGGTCTCCGGTTGATCCCAACAGATGATCAATGTGGAACTGTGGTGTGACTAGCTGATGGGTTTTTAGCTTTATATACTTTATACGCCTATACCTTTCTGTTGTTGTTAGTCACTGAAATGTTGGCTCTATGTATATCTTTATAGTTGTTCTATGTTGTTCTTTAAGCTCCCACTTTAGCTGAGGCTGAAGGGCTTTTGGATCAAGCTGGGACAGCAGCTAAGCGTCAACGTGGCTTGGCAGCCGGATCTGGGAAAATCATGGAAAACAATGAAAGATATCCAGGAAAGGGCTTGGGCGAGGCAGGTGGTCCTTAGCAAAACTCTACTTTCTTAAAGGGACTGCTTAAAATGAATACTAAAAGGCTAAAAGTCTAATCCTAAGTTCGGGTTGAAAAGGGACCCAGGTCATGTGCGCACTGTGTTCAGTTTGATGGTTCAGGTGGTTGGTGGTGATGGGGCTCAGGCTCAGGTCAGGTCGTGATATGTTTTTTCTTTGTGTATGTTGGTGTTGCACGGGGTCAATTTACATCTGGTGTGTTCACTTCTTGATTAGTTCCCCTCTTTATCGTGTCATATGCTCAAACAGTTGATCAAATTTCCACCGGTGCTTCCTGATTTCTTGGGTGTTGGTTTGGTTTTCTATTTTATCTAGCGTTTACATGAAGTTGTTGTTTTCAAACTGAAAACATCATCAAATCTCAAAAGCTGCTGCTGGTTTTGTTGATGTTGTTTCTTTCTCTAGTGTTTACGGGAACATCCACTATCAATGCAGGTTCTCATGGAAAAATCCCTTGAACATCACCTATAAATGACAGTTTTTGATTCATAGGGGTTTCCTAAACTGGTGGTAATTACCCCTTAGATCACCCATCTTCATTGGATGTTCAGGGATTTCCATTTCCATAAACCATCCAGCGAGCTTGGGGATTTTCCCCCAAACATGTGGAAACCCTGGGGATCGCCGGCAGATAATGATGGAGCCGGCCTTCCGATTGGAGTTCGGCAAGCTGCAGGACAAGATTCCGCCCATGTCGGTCCGCAGCCTCGAGGGGAACGTGCCGGGGGCTTAAGCAACCAAAATTGGGGAAAACTATGGGATTTAACCAACACAACTAGGATTTCTGTGTCGAATGATCATTTGTAGGTATACTTGTATGTTGTATGTGTTTTTTCTTTGATGATGTGATTTGTTTTTTGTTCCAAAGTGATAAAGTGTCTGGCTATTTGAATTAGAATGAATATGGCGGCTGTTATGAAAACAAGATAGACATCCATGCAAGGCAGGTGAGGACCAATCTTGCGGGCGTCGAAGGGGGGCGTTGGTCTTGTACCCATTTTTGATCCTTACGAATTGACTCTCGTGGCCGAGTACGTCTGGCAAATGAGATTCCAATCCCAATCATCAGATTCCTGGCAAATGATTTTACAACTTATTGATGAAATAATGTTGAAGGTAGGTTGGGTTATATCACGCTATGTTTCCATCAGCTAGTCATACTCCAATTGGCAGCGTCAGGTGAGTGATGTCAAGCACCTCGGTTGCCCTATTTCACTGGCAGCTTGAGCGGGGTGACACCAAAAAAATGAAGGAGTGTGATTATTGCAGATGTTAAATGATGAATATGCGTGATATCCTTCCTGATATTTCTAAAGTCATTATTGACTTGATTGTTGCAGCCAGAAAATAAGATGGATCCTTTGATGCAAAGAAACATCAGCAGAAAATACCCTCGTGGACGATATCAGGCCATTGATATCTCATGTTCTGGGCAGCTGGGTCCTCAACGTGGCGTGAGGCTCACGTTGGTGGAAGAGTTTGGTGCTGAAGTGGCTCCCTGGAGAAACCATGGAACTGCACAGACTTGGGAAAGCAGGGATTGAGGAATCCATGGTCCATGGGAATGTGGGTGATTGGAATTTATCAATATGAACTCGCAAAATTCCTCGGAATCGCCTACCTTTTGGATCCTTTTTGGCTCTTTGTTGGATCTTGTTGTTGTTTTTTTGGGGGGGAACCTTTTGGAATGCACTTACACATGGCTATGTTCCAATTTCATGTGATAACTTTAGGGGTCAGGGTTCCAGTTGTCACAAGTATCCACGTTGTATGAATATCAGACAGAATTGTAGTTACCATCCCCAGCCTGACCCATGGAGCCCAGATTGACCAATATTTGTTTGTTTTCAGTCAATGGAAGAAAACCACAGGTATCCCCAGGTGAAGTACCCAACATTGGTAGTGTTCTGTGAATATGGTGAATCTGGTACACCGTGATGCTCCTCTTTTTAGAACTATCGACCAAGGCTTCCACCATTTGCATCGATGAGAAGGAAGCCCCACTGGGGACCGCCTCCATTGCTCAGGCACGCTGCGGCAGGGATGATAGCTCTGGGTTTCTGTTGGACCTCGGTAAAAGCTATGGTTAAGCGGCTCCGGTTGGGTATGGTTTGGCCATTTTAGGAACCTAAATTGGAGGTATCTACCATATATCAGGCCTATTTTTCAGGGCTATGGAAGGAGATATACCCCCAAGATATGGCCAACAGTATGGTACTAACGTACCTCCAATTTAGGATCCTGGAATTCCCATTTATTTTTGTTGGACTGTCTGTTTTGGTGACTTGGACATGCATCACACTCAAATGATGTAAAACCCACTTGGTTACATGCCGGGTGGGATGCAAATCCAAGTATTTCACGGTGACAGCAATGGCTGCACATCAGCTCTGCTTGGAAACCAACTTTGTACCCTCTGGTAAAGGTTTACATAACTATGGAAAATCTCGTAAATCAACTATAAATGGTCCATTTTCAATATTTAGCTATGTTAAATTACCAGAGGGTAGTGTTTGTGTCAAGAGAAGTAACTCGCCACAGGACAGTCTCAGAAAGCACTAAGCACGGCGCTTTTTTTCAATCCTTCGGCGCCAAACAGCCATCTGACATTATCAATCAAGAGTAATTAAAATAAAATTGGGCCAAAACGGGCAATGACATGACATGCTGGATTTTTGTAAAATAACACCAACAACTGTTGGCACACCCGGAGGCTATGTCATGATATCTCTGATTCTTGGTAGATCATTGGGTCTAGTTTGAGGCACCTTGGACCCACAATGGGTGACTTCGGCTCCAAATATGCATCAGCCAGGTACATCGTGCGATCTGGAAACCCAAAGGGCAAGCGCACAAAGAGATCGACCCTTGGACTTGAAATCCTAATGATGGCAAGGCACTCTGCTGGGGATTCGAGGCTCTTCAGTGATTGTGGATATATCATTATGTACATCAATTGAGGCGGTGATACAGATATGTCTTGATCAGCGCAAGAAAACTAGAAACAGACAAACGTATGATGTATATAATCTATTGTCAGGTCACAAAAGGCCCAAGCTATTGAGTCCGACCAAGTGGAGGCAAAAGGTTGTAGATGATGGAGGCTACATGCCAAGATTTCTTTTCCGATCCAGCTGGATCCAAGACTACACGATGTTTAAAAGTAGGACTCCAAAAGTGACAGCCCGAATCTTCCCTTTGTCATAAAGCATGTTTTGATGTTTTTGTCTGCCTCGTATGACTTATGTGACCACAGAGGCCTCAATTTACCCCCCAAAGCCTCATCCAAACAGTGACGCAGAGCATTTTGCAGTGGCAAACTGCTTCAACCACCGGTCCAAGGTGGTGAAAGTTCCTCAGACGCAGAAAGGGTCTGGTTGCCCCCGTTGTTTAGGAGGTGGAACCCTCTGTTTTTTTGTCGAAGGGTGAGCACGCCTCAAAAAGAGACTATTCCTACTGAGCTCATCCTCGCAATCCAACATGGGGATAGAATAGCATCAATGGAACACACTAGTGTCATCTATTGTCCACAAACCATGAGACTGGCTGAACCTTGGCTTGGTAAGTTACTAGACTATCTTGGAGCCGCAAATGGAGGAAGATGCTATCACAGCATCCAGCCAAAAAATGATCTGTGCCATTCTGTGCATCTAAGTCTAAGACAAAACATGTTTGTCTATATATACGTAATATTAATACTATTATATAATTATATATATATATATACATTACTATAAATATAATACAATATATATATATATATGTATATATAATGCAATATTTATATATATATATACATTACTATGTATAATACAATATATATATATATAATACTATATATATATAATACTATTTATATATAATACAATATATATTATATATATACATTACTATATATATAATACAATATATATTTTATATATATATATACATTACTATATATATAATACAATATATATTTTATATATATACATTACTATATATATATAATACAATATATATATAATACAATATATATATATAATACAATATATATATAATACAATATATATATATATAATACAATATATATATATATATAATACAATATATATATATATGTGTGTACACATTACTATATATATAATACAATATATATATATACATTACTATATATATAATACAATATATATATACATTACTATATATATATATATACATATGTGGCTGTGAATTGAACATCAACGTGTCGCTTGGGAATGGACGTTCCAACAGTCGAAAAAAGACCCAGGTGCAGCACAGAAACGTGTCGCAGGAGTTCCACCAGGACGGACGGATCCTGAAAAAACGTGTCACGGTCGGGTTGATGGTGACGACGTTTTTTAATACCAATGAGTTGGTACTTTTGAAAGTTATAGAGGATTAGAGGTATATTATTATAAGATATTATAGTGATTGGATAGATGTTATAGTGATAATTATTGATATATGTGTAAAACGATATTAGCCACTGATTAACTATGATTATCTTTTACTATACTATTAACTAGCCATTGGTATGTGATTATAAGATATTATAAACTATTTTCATTGGCTAGTGATTGGATGACAAGTTATATAAAAGCCTGATTCACTAGTTGGGATATGAATGCCTCACAACTGGCTGAGAACCCCAGACTCAGGCTTTTGCTTTACGGAGCATCAATCGCAATTTCCATGATGATACCAGTATGTGATGTGGAATCCAGGATTTGGTAAACGCTTCATTTTGGATGTCGTAACACCACTTTCAGATGTTTGTTGGGTTTGGCGATGCTGAAATTGTGGATGTCACTACGCCTGTAGTCAACATGGCAAGATGACTTGGTATGTCCATACTGCCAAATTCATACAACTGAACAACGGGAGTCGGCTTGACAGGGTATTATCTCCATGATTCAACCAACAACCAAGACCAGAAAACCAGGCATGAAGCCACCGGCTTGTCTGCAACATGCACGAATCAATCCAGGGCGTTTACGTAGCTTTGCCATCCATTTGGTTTGAGAGATCTCCCCCTTAAAAAAAAAACGTTGAAACCAGTGAAATATGAAATATGAGCGCCTGCCAGCTGTTGGCTGAGTATATCGCGTATAGGCATTCGGCATCAGTTTTGTCCCAGGACTTGCGCAACTCCCAGATTTTATCCAAGCTGTTGGCTTTGGTCGATCCGGTGCCTGGGGCCGGGGGGCAACGAACGTTTTCCTCAGGGTTCTTGGTGACGATGCTGGGGTTGGGTTAAAAGATGGTTAAAGATTGTCAGGAAACAGTGCTAAATGAACGCTCTAACTTATTTTGATATTGCTACAGGTCTGGCCATGACTCACGACGGTGATGGGTTTTATGGTTTTCACGTTCTTCTCTGTTGTCCATCTCTACATCAATGGTCTACACTGGTACCATCAGTATTTACTTGAGCAAAAGCAATGTTTGGCCGAGGGCAGCAATTGAACACCAGGTATGGACGTGCCCAGGGCATACCCACACTGTACCATACGTAGAAACAAAATAAAACACAGAACCGCACCCAGTTTCATTGTCTTGTATGGTCCTGAGCCTCGAAAAAAAACATTTTCCAACAGTTAGGGTACCCTTGGATGATTTTGGATTATGCAGAAACTTTACCTCCGCGAGGCGGATGCTGAGCAGGGACATGACCTTCTCATTCTGCTTGCATTTGAGATGGGAACCCCCAGCAGTTTTTTCAAAATGACCCAAATCACGGACCCAAAAAACAATTCTTGACCAGTGTCAGACTGACCATAGCCATATTTGGTTTGATGAACATACAGAACTTGCAGCCACTTGCCGGTCCGTTATCGCAACCAACATCCCTACGCCGCATCTTTTTGAGATGCTCCGCAGGAAGGAGTCCCCGACCTTCGCCCCATCGTGCAAAGCTTACGAGAGGCGTGGTGGAAATCCTCTGAGCTATGAACAGAATACCTCTGTTGATGGGTTTTGTTGGGGTGGAGTATGAATACACTCAAAAAAACACCCATATTAGGGAAGCCTATCAACTAACTAGTAGGGCAACTAGTATAATGACATGGGATCGGGGTATTTTTAATGGCTCAGTTTGAAACGAGGAACAATTAGGAGGCGGGTGTAGCAACCCCCAGTCATAGATAGAAAAGTCTGAAGGGGAAGTATGAGGAAATACTGTATATCATCTCTACATATTCATCTCTCATATCCTGGAGAAAAGTTCTCCAGTTTTTGTTGGGAACCCATATTATATCCATAGTATCCAGAATGTCATCAATGTAATGGGGATGACATGAAGACAACATTCATTGTGTGAGTGGGTCTAAAGTGGGGATACAAACCAACCATTATGGAGATCTTCTCTGAGTCATGGTGTGATTGATAGAAACAATAAGATACGTTTGTTTGATGCTGTTTCGGGACGGCACCTAAGGATTTGTTCCCCATCCAACATTCTACATGATCATAGTGATGACAAGACTTGAGATTTGGGGTTGCCCTCTCAAGCAAACCTATATACAAATACTGTATAATTTGAATCGTTCCAATTTAAGCCGACCTTAGATATGGGACAATCAGTGCGTAGCTTTGACAATTTCCGTAACCATACATAGAGGAATTGGATTTGCGTAGAGCGTTGTGGTGACAATTTTCGAACAAACAATCCTTGTGTGTGTGGTTCAGTTGGAGCGGACATCTAGATGTCGTTTTGGAATGTTTTGGATGGTGGTGGTGAGTGAGTATTGTTGGATATTGTTGGCTTTAGTACCCTCTGGTAAACTAACATACCTAACATAACTATGGAACATCACCATTTTATAGCTGGGTAAATCCACTATTTCTATGGCAATTTTCAATAGCTACAGTATGTAAACGGTAAACGTTTACCAGAGGATAGTTCTCCAGTCCAAATCAGGAGGATCTAGCCCAATGAAACATCTCCGTGCGCCAGATCAGGAGGCCAACAACCTCTAAACTGGTGCCTTCGGGTGGACAGAAGGCTGGCTGGGATAGTCACCATGGCTGGTGTCTATCCCAGCCGCTCGCACAGACAGGGCAGCGCTTCAGAGCGTGCAGATGGGCTGCTTCCGAGACTGGCTGTCCTGGATTGTCCTAGCCAGGGTAGACTGGATAGATGACGAGGTTCGAGAGCTTCGACCCCGCCTACACCATTGGGTCATTTGCTCCAAGGACCCACCAGGTTGGATGGCTAGGCTTAACCCTCCAAAACAGCTACCATTTTAACATAGATTTTGGGTGATATGTGTTCATAGGGTCATGCACCACCATTCTATAGAGGCCTCATTTGATTGCTTGAATCAGGCAGGAGTGCCATTCTATAGAGATGTGGGTTTAGTATGTTTTAGTAACATGTAACATGTAACAGTTTTAGGGTTGAGCATGACCATTCTATAGAGTTGAATTCTTCCTTGCTCACCCATGCTGGCCGTATCTTCAAGCCAGACACGCGGACGCTATCCCCAAATCCTTTGTTTGTGAAGCACAATGCCGCGAGTTCGCGCAGACCTACATCCACACTACGACTGCCCAGACCACTATGAATTTGGATACACCAGATGTTCCCAGGGCTTCCTATAAAACGGCATTACATCAGAGGGGTTTGGGAAGAGCCTAAAATGAAGCACCGGGAGGAGATTGGGTTGCCCATGCTTGCAAACGCCTTGAAATTATTTGGGTTGTGGGTACCCTTCTAATCTATTCTTAAAGTTTGGTGCGCAGGTGGGAACAAGGTGGCCTTCTGTAGAATTGCACTGCTCAGGTGGAAAACAAGGATGGCCCTCTATAGAATGGTAGTACTGAGGTGGGAAACAAGGGTGGCATTCTATAGAATGGCATTATTCAGGTGGGAAGTAAAGGCGGCCCTCTATAGAATGGCGCTACTCAGGATCCTGTTGGGAACGTCCTTTTCAGAATGCAGTAGTAGCATGTGGATACAGTAGGATGCAGTAGGCACGTCAAAACAGCGGCAGGAAGCCGCCGAGACATTTTGTTTTCGGAGTTTTCCCGCCTGCGGCTAAATACACATCAGAAAAGCGGTGGTGGCATGCAATGATGCAGTTTAGGCTGAAATGAACCTCATCCGCTAATTTTACACACCCCTTAAACGGTCCCAAATAATCCCAAATATATGTAGCCACTATGAAACAGAACTAAACTATGATTTGTGATGATATGTGGGCAGTGTCGTTTAATATTAATCGGAAGAGACTGCATATCTTAATGAATAAAACTGTACCAAACTAATGCAAACCATGCAAAAACCACGCTTATAAAATGGTACCCCTAACCCCTAAAACAAAACAATTTCAATCACCCTGGAGCCACTATAAAATGGCACCCCTGACCATGCCAAAGAATTGAAAAAGGCACTCGGTATGGGTCACAGTTGCCACTAGGTGGATCTCATGGAAGTCATTCTATAGTGGGTAGGTGGCAAAAAAACACCCTTGAGTGATTTGGTCATGGTGACCATTCTCACTGGCTTAATCTGTTAGTGAAACAGTTGAAGGTGACTGGGAAGACCATTCTTTTTTGAAGATTTTGATAAATTTTGGTGATTTTTTACTTCATGAATCCCATTCTATAGAGTGCCATGTGCTGACAGTGGTTGTGCTTACCATTTCCCAAGGGGATGGGTTTTGATTGGTGTATCTATACATTTGAGGGTCCTATAATGTCCTGCAGTTATGGCCCGAGTTATACCAGTTATAAGTACTAAGAAAACCCAATTTATAGAATGTATAATCCCATAGAAAGAACCAGTTATAACTAATAAATTGCCATATCTGTGGGTATTCATTATGAGAAAATGATCAATTCCCATTGTAAGGTGGGCCCCTGGTTGTGATGTTGGTTCAGCTTCACCCCATCTATAGTAATTATGATGATTGCGGATTCAACGTGAGCGCAGTTGTTTCAAACTTGGCTAGCCCCACATCCATTGCGATCGGTTGAATCACCTTTGCTGCTAGTTCCCATGGGTCTTGTGGGTTCAACTATATTGTTTTTAGGGTCAATGTATCAGAAAACCACATTTTCTCGTTGGTGGTTTGGAACATTTGTTATTTTTCCATATATTGGGGAATAATCATCCCAACTGACTTTCATATTGTTCAGAGGGGTAGGTCAACCACCAACCAGTTATGATCGGTTGAATCACCATTATTTGTTGCTAGTTCCCATGGGTCTTGAGGGTTCAACCTATCGTTGTGGTTTTCTAATAGATGGGCTAAATCATGTTAAATCACATTTTTGTTAAATCACATGTTAAATCACATTTTTGTTTCTTCCATGTTTGTTGGCTAGATCCCAAATTTTCCCCCTTGTATTTGGGGCCCCTACCATTTTTGGGTGAACGATCAGATGGCGTGCCAGGTGACGGTCAAAGAGCTGGACTTCCGCCAAGAGGCGCCTGGCGATGAAGATTTGGCTGTTCCCTTATGGCAGATCCCCTGGGGAATCTATAGGGAATCTATAGGGAATATGTCTGAATTCTGAATATGATATATGTTTTGGGTGTTTCTAAGCCATGCAATTTTTTGGAGGGGATAAAGATGGAGACAGGCTGAGACAGGCCATTTCTACATGACCACCAGAAGTTAAGATTCACCACTAGACACAACTAGACCATGAAGTTAAACCAGCTCAGCAGGGGAGCTGGGAACCAACCACTAGTGGGTTTTTATAAGTTTTTATGTTATTCTGGTTGGTGGTTTGGAACATGTTTTATTTTTCCATATATTGGGAATAGTAAACGCCAACTGACTAATATTTTTCAGAGGGGTTGAAACCACCAACCAGTATTTTACGGCGTTCTTAGGCAGATCCAAAGTGTTGATGATTTCTTTAATGGTTAATGCTGGCCCCTATAGTTTCAGCGATCAAATTTGAGGTGCGGTGTTGCTCGGTGCAGGGACCAGCAGCATCACAATGAGTAAATATATCTAAGAACAAGACATCCATCATCAAGAATCACGAATCAAATCACCTCCATTATCCATAGATTATCCATAATTATCAACACATTTTCCATAGATTATCCATAGATTTTCCATACATGATTCATCATTATCCATCATTCTCCATAGATGTTCCATAGATGATCCTTATAAATTCACGAGTCCACTATGGTGAATGATCCATAAAGTAACCATGATGAATACTGATGAATGTATAATGAGTCATCATGGTTAATTTAGTATATCCATTGTTGTCATAATTATCCATAATAATAATGGTTAACTTTTCACCATAATGATCCGTCATTATTAATAAATTTGCCATAGATTCTCTATAGTTCTGGGTAAATTATAACCACCTCACTGTTCCCCTCACTGGAATCATGGTTGAAAGGAAAATCATCCCCAAATGGCCGAACAATTCAGGTTCGTGAATTATATAATTCACCCAGATAGTTGGTCCATACATTATTCATCATTATCCATCATTATTCACCCAGATAGGTTCCTCCACTATCCATAGATTATCCATCGTTATCAATAGATTTTCCATAGATTTTCCATAGTTTTTCCATACATGATCAATGGATCCATCATCATTATGATCAATAAATTATTCATAAATTATCATAATCCATCATTATGAATATTCATTATGAATATTCATAATCCATCATATCCTTCATAATCCATCATAAATTATCAATAATGATTCATCATTATCCATCATGATCAATAGATTTCCCATAGATGTTCCATAGATTTTCCATAGATGTTCCATAGATTTTCAATAGATGTTCCATAGATTATCCATCATTATCCATCATTATCCACTCATGTATTCTTCGAGTCGCCCGAGGCGGAGAACCAGCAGCGTGCCATGGAGGCCGCTGAGAAGCACAACGCCAAGGTGGTGATCCCCAAGGCACGAAAACGGCAACGGCAACGGCGCGCCCCGTTGCCGAACACAAATGGCGGATTTCCATGAGATTTCGTGGGATTTTATGGTGATTTTATTGAATTTTATGGAATTTAATGGGATTCTATGGTGATTTAATGGAATTTAATGGGATTCTATGGTGATTGAATGGGATTGAACCAAAAAAAACGAAGATTTATTGGGATTCCATGGATATTTAAACCATCATGGTGGTGTTGAGGTTAAGAATAAAATAAGTTAACTTGTTGAAGTCAGGTTGAAAATAACACATTTTGTCATGTTGAAGTATACAAGAGTTTCTCGACAAGAATGTGAAGATACACAGCAGATGTTGAATGAGGAAAATCCAACAAGACGTGGATACTGATTGGAACACATGGGAGATGTAGGCTGTACAGATTGGGTAAAAACAACATGGACATGGCTCAAGTCGTAGTGGCTGGAAATACGAGCACACAAGATTGTTTCTGATCCTCAAAATTGTTGCCAAATGCAGGCATCGAATGTGCAGAAAATCACTGGGCAGACCTTGGTGAATGGTTGATGTGTTGAGCTGACGTTTTTCCATCGTCTTTTCGGGCAGGCCCAAGGGTAGCTTCAATATCAGCCATTTGCTTCCACCAGTAACGATGAAACAAACTTGTGCGAAAGAGATTGGCCAACATTCGTTTGAATCACCATTTTTTGTTTCATATTTGCAATATGTTCCACCACTTTTGGCAACCAACCACCACCTTGTGCTGTTTTAATCCTGTCTGTTGGTGATTCAACGGGTGAGCCGGGCTGAATCCCCCCATCGTTTTGGTGGTGACACGTTTGATCATGGATATGTATTTTTCATATAATCCTTTTGTGGCACGGTCAGAGGTTAAAGTCATGTATTGTCCAATATCACCTATGTGAATAGCTATGGTTAGTACACTAATCGGATTATAGGTTGAACATTATGTATTATGGTTCAGGATTATATCATAATAATGCATGGGTTAATATTAAATTATGTTTATTTGAAACATTATCATATAATCCTTAACCATCGGGATTTCCAATTATATAACCATGGTATTACATGTGAGCACTCATGTGACCATGATTATTTTCCATCAATATGGTGTTATATTAACCCATTCATATTAACAAGATTTAACCATATATCATGGATATTGTAACCATATTTATTATACATGTATATATATATATTATGACACAGATTAACTTAACCACATTAATATCTGGTTGGTGGTTTCAAACATTTTTCTTTTCTATAATATATGGGATAATCCTTCCCATTGACGAACTCCATCATTTTTCAAGATTGTTCAAACCACCAACCAGTGATTATATAGATTAACTTAACAACATATATATATATATATATAGATATATTATGTATATTAACCACATTAATATGATTATTACCATGGTTCATACACCATTTTGTTGGTGACGGAGTGGCTGCCCGGGTGACCTCGCTGACGGCCAGGTGGTGTCTGCGCTGGTGTCGCGCCGCGCCATGGCCATGGACTACGTGGACGGCGAGGCCTTGTCCAAGGCCTCCGAGAGGTTGACGCAGGACGGCCCATTGCGTGGCTCACGTGCTGCGGAGGAACAACTGGGACAAAAAATTGTGATTTTAGAGGGAATTCATGGGATTTGTAGATATTTTTTATAGGGTTTTGATGTGGATTTTTAAAGGGATTTAATGGTGATCTATAGGATTTCATGGTGATAATAACAGTGATCTAATGGGATTTAATGGTGATTCAGTGGAATATGCAATGAGATATGTCATAACCAACAATGAATTCGGAGCTGTTATATAAAGTGGATAGATTATGGCGATTGTAGCCACACACTTTTTGTTTTTTCTCTTTGACCACATATACCAAAGACTTTAACTTTGAAGAAAACCTGAGGATTGAAGCAGCGAAAGCATAGATTTCAACGAGCAAGAGTTGAGAGTTTGGTGATGACAACCCATCATAATGGTATCACCAAAATATTGATAGGTAGTACTATTATACTACTAAACCATTCTATGAACAAATTATCCACTACTAATAGTACCATTATCAACCCATTATTTTTATCCGCAAAAATAGTCATATTTCTTGGTAGTGGTTTATGACATCGATGAAATCCCTGTGCCGGATTTTGGGAGGATGGTGTATGGCAATGTGGAAAGGACAACTTGAAATGGGGAAGTCTACCCCTTTTTAACGGAAATCAGAATTAGTCAATAGGGACTTGAATCCTTCAAATCCAATTCAGCTGGGATCAAAATGATGGTTGCTCTCCAGCAAGTCGACAAATCTGGCAATGGAGAAACCTTTACCTAGAAACATTATATAGATGACTTTTGCAGTAAAAAAACATGCGACGTTCGTTCCATTACCAAGATTGATCACCAGAGGGTGACCCTTGGGTTACGCCGCTATGCCCCTTCTGTTCTGACAGCGGTTTAGTGAACAAACATTTTGGGCCAACACGTATACCTCAATGATCCTGCCTCCAAAAAAATATGGTCAATTGGCACAGTGGCACATAATGTGCTTAACACTGCGTTTATGCACCTGAGATGATGGGTTGGATTTTGTCAGTTGGCATTGAGGTTGGATACCCTCTGGTAGTCTTGGCAGCGGAAAATCTCGATTTATGGATGATTTCCCTACCATGTTCCGAAGTCATGTGACTGATCATAGGGCCATTGGATTTTTGTTTTTGTTTTGTTTTTTTTATATATCGGCAATTGACCATATAGAGCAGGGGTTGGTAAATGTCCTAATTGAACAAATACTTGAAGGTGATGTTCAAAATCATCAAAAATGATAAAGGGACATTTACGAACCCCTGTAGAATGGGAATGTAATGTATGTGGTAAAACTGTGTGAAGTGAGTGGTGAAAGGTAGGTTGATGGTCGATCTTGATAATCTGATCAATATAGACAGCAATTAGCAACTATAGGTATATAACTTATATAACTATATATCATATCATATATATATATATTATATACATGAAAAATGGGGTATACCCATCCCAAGAAAAATATAAATTTTCATGGTGACAAAAATGATGAGTCACAGCTTTTCATCGGGCACACCATCACCATTTTTTGGGCGGAAGCCCCAGGAGCAGCGGAACCGGCTGATTGGCGCCATGGTGGATCACTTCGCCGTGCAGTCACCGTGTTAGCCATGTCTTGTTGGGTGGTTGATCATTGTGGGGGGTCAAAGGTATGAAGCATATCAAATGGTAAGGTTCATGGGGAAAATTATGATTGAAATTGATTGAAACCATTGAATGTTCTGGGATGTTCTCGGTAGTCTATCCTTTTTTTGGACAAACTCGATATGATTGAAAATTGGGTGCCAAAATGCGAGATAGCTCAATACTCAATCAGCATGAAGTCTGTTGAAATTTTGATCCAGGCCCAACACAATTACGGACGGAACCAACCGAAGAAATTAGATGCGAGCAACAAGAACACTGCAAAAGCAAATCCAAACCCCCAGTGATATGAATACTAATATATGGAGAACCCAAGATTGGCCCAGATCCAATACCAAACCAGGTTTCTGGCAGGGTGTTTCTACTAAGCCTGTCAAGATAAAATCCTGATTTAATAAATAATATTCCTACTTGAGTCATTTTGGCTTCCATGGCCATGGTTGATTCTGTGTGCAATATTGAACATGGATGTTTTCCATTGCCATCTTTGAGTACTATATTGTTGTCCAGGATCCATATATATATATATAATTTGAACCCCAGAAGTTGCTGGTGACCGTCATTTTCGAGGTGGCATCGCCATATAGACTTGCCATAGGCTTGGATCGTAGATGGAGGGAAACTAATGAGCCTCGCTGCAGTCAACCTGAGATACCGACCAACTACCATATCCTGTACTTGGTGGTTTAACCTCCTGAGTGTGGGGTTTGTATACAGTATAATATACCTGGTGAAAGTTAAAGAAGTATATATATATATATGTACATAAGATATGTGTTAGTCGACATCTCCGGGTATTTTGGGTATATAACCGAAAGACTTGAGATCTGTGAACGGACATTGCTTTTGTGGAAATTTGTCTTGCATCTTGTTCCCCACTTGTTGTCCTTTGCAATGGAGGCAAACCCTTCATAGCATTTGCACGTATTGACTATGCATGTGGCGTCACATGCGGCGTCACATGCCGCTCAAGTTGCACATGGAAACTCGTCAGGCGTGGCCGATGATGATCAGAGCAAGGCAGATAAGTCAGGAAGGAGTGTTGCGACACAGAAGTGGGATGCATCCTATGCCACTTTGTGCAAGGCGACCCTACCTTCTATGAATGATAGATGCAGGGCTGGTCTCCTTAGTTAAGCTCACAGAGCATCCAGTGGCCGATGTCAATGCAACACTTGGACATTTGTGCGGTGGCAGGCCTGCAGAGGAATAGTGAAAAGTGCAAGCTGGAAACTTGTTTTCTTGTGGCAGCAGGCTCTCAGATGAAACAGTGAAACTTGCAATCTAGAAAGATATCGTTTGCTGGCAGAAGGAAATCTGCAATGTGGCATCTTGAGATTTTCCAACAGCGCATCGAAAGATGTGCAATCAGGAACCAGGATCTTGAAAGTAGGCGGCAGGCCGACTTGCAAACTAGAACCTCGAATTTGGTAATTTTTACTTTGCGTCTCGCGGGCAAAATGTATCGCTACACCAAATTCTCAATGAAAGAAAGAACCTATATTATGTTATTTTTGATCATCAACCATGTGTAGCGTTACGTTTTGGATCGTTTTGGTCGAAAAAAAATGCCAATCAAATTTTGGTCGATGTTCATTGTGACATTGTGGGACAAGCAGCTTATTACAGCGGCAACGCCAACTTATTCGCAAGAATGGAATCCACCGACCTGGTACCAAGTGGGTTGCACACCCGATTTTCTCAACCTTTCAACAAGTTTCGGAGAAGTTACATGCATAGACAGGATAAGTCCCCACTCATCCTTGGGGCCTTGGGGTGTCAAAAATGCTTTATGTTCCATGGGGTCAACCGAGTCATCCTTCCCATCCCCTCCTTCCGCCCTGGGGCCCTGGATCCGAGGTTCGCCTTAGACGGCCATTTTCACGCGGATCCACATCCCGGCAACTTGTTGGTTGAGAAAGGCACCGACAGGCGACCACATCTTGAGGGATGGTGCTGGCACCGGGTCGACTGGAAGCGACCAAAAAGATGGGGACCTAAGATCATTGAGCCATGAAAATGAGGGCTAGTATTAAGTTGAATATGTATACATATATCATATATATATAATTATATATATATATACAGTATATTATATAATATGAATATATCACGTTAGATCTGATTTGATTTGAAAGGCTCAAATCGAGCCAACATGGAGATTTGATCCAAAAGATGAAGACACCCAAAATAGGTGCGAATGATTCATTTTGGGGGGACAAACAACGACTCGTTGTCCACCGCACATTTCGAGATTTTTCTGGAAAGTGGTGAAGGAGATGCTCCGTTGAGGGTGGCAAAGAACGATTCCATTGGACGATAGAACAAATCATGACCTAATGATTGCCACCATGTTCCAAATGAACAACAGATGATGTTGCAATCAAACATAATTTGGCCATATATTGGGAATAACCACCAACCAGACAATATATGTTTGGAAATGGCTGGTAATCATACCTAAGCGGAAGTTATATGATGGCCATTGATGGCCAGCTATTTGCCTTCCTTTTTGCTACTGCATTGTACTGCATGTAGCCGGCGCTTGTTGAGCCATGGGTTTATAGCAATGTCAGTCCAGCGGGTCAATCATGTAAAGTCATTATAGATAATTTTTGTGTATCATCCAGAGCCTTAAATGTACTCTAAGAATCTCTAAGATATATAGCCACGGACCAAAACCAATGACGTTTCGTAAGAATGTAGAAACAAACCTCGTCAAAACATCGACAAGTCGACCATTGTTTCAGGATGTTCTCCAGGCCAATGGTACCAATATTCAATGGCTGGTTGGTGGTTTCAAACATGGCTTTTATTTTCCATAATATATGGGATAATCCCTCCCATTGACTAATATTTTTCAAGAGCTTCGGCCCAGGGTCTTACCAGGAGTGAAGCGGTGTCGGCGGATCCCCTGGGGTGGTAGTTTTCGGTTGCAATGGATTGGACTGCACTTAGGCCAGGTCAAAGAACTTCGGTTGTGCTAGCTGTCATTTGTAGGGATTCCCAAGGAACCAGACATCTGATGCAGACCCAGGATAGACGAGGCTTAAAGGTGTGGCTTGAAGGTGAAATCCCATATGGGGGCACAATTGTTGGGGTAGATCTACTGGTGACATCTGTCTCCCCCATGCAATTTGCTGTTTCTCGGGAGTCGGTGGTGGTCCCTGTTCCGGTCTGTGACAAAGGATCCTTGGATCAGGTGATTGACCTGTGTGCTGGCCTGGGGGGTTTTTCCTGTGCGTCGTCCAGGGTTGGGTTTGCTGTCCAAGCAGGGGTTGACCAGAATGGACTTTGGCGTAAACTGTTCCAGTCCTTTCACAAGGGTGCCCAGTTCTTCGTTGGTGATTTGGTGGATCCCAATGTTGTCCGTCAACTGCTCAGCCTGGGTCACTTCCACTGTGTTCTGTGTTCAGGTGTGTCTTGCCAACCGCATTCAGTGCTTGGTGACAAAAGGGGAATGGATGATCCAAGGGCTGACTCCCTTCCAAAGACCTTGAACATAGCATGGCTGTTGCAGGCTGCAGTAGTGATCATCGAGTGCACCCCTGAGGTACTTCGCAATGCCCAGGCACAGGAACTCCTCCGTCAATTCACTGTGAACACAGGGTACAGGATGTTCCAAACCATCCTTAAGCTCAGTAATGCTTGGTGCACACGACGTGACAGATGGGTGGCCATTTTGACTGCACCGGTCATCTGCATGTGTGAGCTGCCTGACTTGCCCAGCTGTGCAGAAATTAGGGTCATCCGAGACCTCATCCCGGCCTTCACACCATGGCCCCAATCCGAGCATGATCAATTGGTTCTCAACCTGTATGAACTCTCCAAATACTATCAATATGCTGCAGGTGGAATTGATAATGCTTGGCTCAACATGGATGACCAGTTGCCGACCCTCTTGCACAGTGCAGGAAATCAGATGTACACCTGTGCATGTGGTTGCAGGGCCGCCTTGTCAGAGGCCAGACTGAAAAGCAAAGGCCTGGTAGGTGTTCTGATCCCACTGCCGACATGCCAGACACATATGAACATCTACATGCGCCATGCCAGGTACCTTCATCCATGCGAGATGTGGGCATTGATGGGGGGTCACCCTCAAGCTTCTATGGGGCATAATCTCAGATTGGCCATGGCAGGGGTTGGCCAGGCTGTGGCACCACTGATGGGGCTTTGGATTTTTGCCCATGTTCGCAGATCCTTGGATTTGACCTTCGAAGTGCCTCCATGTGATCCGACCCAGGTCTTGAAGGAGTACATGGCTGAAATCATCCAGGCATGCCGAGCCAAATGGCCCCCACTGCCTGCTCCGACTGCCCCGGACCCGGTTGATGATGATCCCATCGAAGATGTCACACCATGGATCACTCTCACATGGCCGTGTACAGATCAGCCTGATGTCAAAGTGAAGTTGACGCCTCATGTCACAGGTCAGCAACTGTTGGATGCAGAGCGTAGCCTCAATGTTCCAGTGGATGGATGTTCATTGCGAGTTGATGGAGAAGAGTTTGATGCCGCTCAGCCTTTGCCCCCGTCCAGTCTTGTGTCCATTGTCCCACAGGGATGGCATCCGAGTCAGCTGTCAGCCACGCCTGTCATTCCGTGTTGCCTGTCTGCTGATGATTTCATCCGGTATGTACAGACATCCGATGCATCCGACTTGGGCTTGGTCACTGACTTGCAGGAACTTCGAGCAATTCGTGTGCCTTCCTTTTCTAGGGCTGAGAGACTTGGACTTTTGACTATGCAGGGACCGGTATGGGGTGATGATGAAGTTCTGTATGGACTTTTGCAAACGGCCATAGGCACTGACACAGACCAACATGTCCATGTCTGGGACCCCCTTTTGGTTACTGGACTGCTTCAGTGTGAAACCACCTCCACATGGTCAGATTTGGTTGCCCCGTTGGGACCGGTTGCCACTGTGGTGTCAGCAGTGCTGTTGGGTGGCCATTGGATTCCATTGGTGTGGCGGGTGGATATGGTTGGTTCTCAGATGCACACGGTGTCGGTACCATCGGAATATGCCCCTGTCATGGAAAAGCTTGCCCGTGTCATTGAAGTCCTGCGGGGTGGGGCCCGGGGCACATGGAAAGAACACAGCCTTGGATTTTCGCCCTCCGGACATTGTGGTGCCTTGGTGCTATCTTTTGTCAGACACCTATTGTGGGGTTGGCTTCTTGTCACTGATCAGGACTGGTTGGCACACTATGCTGGTGGCATGCGAGGGGAGTTCATTGAGCATTTGCCTGATCCGTGTTCTCGTCCCTGTCTTGCAGGTTTGGGTTTCACAGTCCACCAGCGGTTGGCAGATCTCTTGTTGAGTCATGGAGTTGCAGCCTCGGACACTTCTGCTCGTGCCTCTGCTGTCGTCAAAGCTTTGGGTGAACGTGAGGTTGGGACTGCTTTGGAATCCAAAAACCCATGGAGAGAGCTGAAATGGCTGGGCAATCAAGTCCGACCACCCTTCATGCTGATCAAACCAGCGGAGCTTCAGGCACAGATTGACAAGCGAGCCAGCGACTTGCCTGTTGGCCACAAAAAGCATAAGCATGCCAAGACCCCGAAAGGTAAGGGTAAGGGTAACTCCAAGCCTGTGGTGAGCCTTGATCCCACGCTGCTTCGCCTTGAGGCGGGGATTTTCCAGAGTAGCGATGGGGTTCCCATGTCACAGATTGGCCTTTGTCAAGTTGGTTCCTCTGCCTCCGGAGTTGCGGTTGTCTCAGTGCAGGTCATAGAACCTTACCTCAAGGCTGGTCCTTTGTCGCCTGGTCCCTTGGCCCTGTTTGTCGTTGATGCCCCGGAAGTTCCTACCACTGCCTGCTCCGTCTCTGCTGAACGTGTCCCTCTGGTGTGTGCTGCGAATTCTGAGCCGTTACTGATTGATGGCTACCTCATTCAACTTGGTGCGGTTGAGGTCCAAAGAACTCCGATGCAGCCAGGCATGGAAGTCAAAGCAGTTCCAACATGTGTGGTCAAGGCAATGGTTTTTCGAGATCAGACTGGAGTTCCGTGGCCTGAGGTTGTGTCTCACCCGATGCTCCACTTGTTTTCGGTGGTTCCCCCTTTGTCGCAGTGCACTGATGATGACTGCTGTGGCTGTGAGTGCTGGCACCGTACTCTGGATTTTCCCATGGATAACCCGGTGTTGGAATTGTGGGGGAAACAATGGCTCAGACTTGACTTCAGTCATGCCCACCCAGATCAAGCTGATGTCTTCACAGCACATCTGCGACTGCCCGAGCATCTTCAGTTGGTGGTACAGCAATTTTCGGGGCACCATGGGGTTTATCTTGAACCCAAATCTCTGGATGGCCGTCGCCCGTCATCTGACTTTCAGGTGGTTTGGATGCCGAAGACTGACCACAATGAGCTCATCATGCTGCGTCAGACCGTGGCCAACGTGGTTGGTATTGCCAGGATGGGGAACAAAATGGGTCTTCGATGCAAAACTATTCATGCTGCCGATGTCTTTGCACTGCTCAGACCAGGGCACACCTTCTTGCCACCTGGCAAGCGGCAGACCTACCTGGTGGGGCCTTTTGTGTATGGCACCTTGCAGTCTTCGGTTGCCCAAGTGCTTCATGCTCATGGTTGGGTTGCAAAGCCAGTTCAGGCCTTGGCGGCCAAATCTCATGTTCAGGGACTCATGTACCGAGTTCAATCAGTCCAGGAGCCGCCACACAAGATGATTCGAATGGCACATGGTGATGTCTTGATTGCCAAGGAAGAAGCAATGGTTGAGCCTGACCGACTTGGCCCCAAGGTAGTTGCATCCATGGCGACTGAATCCTTTGTCTCCAAGCAGGCTGAGGGCGACTACATTCAGCAGAACGATCCATGGGCGAAAGCAGCAGCCAAGCTTCCGGCTAAGTCAGCCAACTTTCAGCTCGGCAATCCCTTGGAGGACATGACTCAGAAGGTCATTGCGGAAGTGCTGTCCAAGATGCCGCAACAGACCATGGAGGTTGACTCTGAATCAGTGGCTGACAAAAGGGTGCTCGACCTTGAAACTCAGGTCAAAGACTTGCATGGCCAAACCCAGGCTTTGGCAGCACAGGTGCAACAGCATGCACAAGATACGGCAGGGCATTTTCAAGATGTTCAGGCCCAACTCCACCAGCAAAGCACCCACTTTGAAAGTGCCATTGCAGCTCAGGCCAGTTCGATGCATGGCTTCCAGGAGTCCTTCCAAGAACAATTTCGACAGCAGGTGAATCACCAACAGACGATGTTGGACAGCATGTTCACGAAACAGATGTCTCAGTTTGAAGCTTTGCTGGCCAAGCGACCTCGTCAAGAGTGACGGTGCCCAGTCTCTCAATTGACTGCCTTGAGTGATTGGGTTAGTGCAACTGGTGGTCTTGTCTTGGTTTGGACTTTGGTCGTGTTGTTCCTGACCCTCGCTGGACTTTGCTTTGGGTCTTCGGCCACATGGATTGCCGGCCTCTCTTTGGTGGTGTCGGTTTTTGGACTTTTGGTGGACTCTGGTTGTGGTTTGGGTGACCAGGTTTTTCGGTGGGCACAGGCTTCTTCAGTCTCACCACAGGGGACAGCACTTTTGGTGTTCTGTCGCAATTTTGGACTTACTCATGCGCATGACACTGTTCGGTCTGCCCAGAGGCGATTGGATTTCTCTGTCAATGCGTCACACGGATGTTGTGCTCCTCTCAACGAGGTCAATCGGTCTCCCCGAGGTGGTTTCACTTGTATAGGACCTCGGCTTTGGATGGTTTTTCTTTTGGGATTGCTCCGTGTTGGAGAAGCTGCGCACCCAGGCCCGGATCCTGACACTTGGACTTTAGGCATTGCCAATCCCAGTGGACTTAATGGGAAGTTGGATCAGGTCGCTCACTTGACAGGTGATGTCTGGCTGATGTCTGAAACGCAGCTTTCCCAGAAAGGGGTCTCTTCCTTCACTAAGGGCTTGAAGATGCTCAAGAGTCCTTGGCGTTATGTCATACCAGGTGCACCATGTACATCACGACAGCGTACTGACACTGGTACTCATGCTGGAGTCATGGTGGTTTCGCGTCATCCAGCCCGGGCCTTGCCTCATGGATTTTCCACCGAGGTTTTTGAGTCTGCACGGGTTCAGGTTGCTGGTGTTGCTCTTGCGGGTACCTGGGTTACCGTGGGGGTCATGTATGGATTCCCTTGCAATGCCCACCACAAGCAAGCCAGGTTTCAAACAGAATCCATCTTGGCTGATTTGGTCGAGAGGGTAGGGCTGCAAACGGTGGGACCCCGAGCAATTGGAGGGGACTTCAATTATGGGCCTGAGGAGTTGGAGCAGGTTGAACGCTTGAAAGAATTGGGCTTTCGTGAAGTTCAGGACCTCAGGGCACTGCGACATGGGTTTTCGGTGGAACCTACTGGGAGGGGAACACGTCGACTGGATCAGTTGTGGATTTCGCCTGAATTGCAACATGCATACTGTATGACGCAGGTTGACTTTGATCATTGGGCTGATCATGCTGCGGTCAGTGCATCGTTTTCCTTGGCTGCTTTGTCTTCTGCTGTGCATGTGTGGCGTGTTCCTCAACCTTTTCCATGGCCTGCTGAGTGGTCTTGCAAGGTGTGTGTGGACTTTCAAGGTGACTTGACCACCTCTTATGCCCAATTTTGGAACCAAGTTGAAACCCAGGCCAAGGGATGGAATCAACACCATGGACTTTCTGTCACTCGTAAGCAGTGCGGTCGGGCCTCGGTTTTGGAGACCACTCCCACACGTCACTTCCTTGCACCTGTCAAAAAGGGGCGTGAGGGTGATATCCAACCGGAGTATCTGGGGGTGAGCTTGCAACATGCCAGGTTCTTCCGTCAACTCCGTCGACTCCAATCCCTTTGTCGAATACTGGCTAAGGGTGAGCTCTCGTGGTCGGGTCGCTTCAACCGTGATGACACATGGAGGGCCATTCGCACAGCCGTGGGGTTCCCGGGTGGTTTTGGACTTTGGTGGGGTGTTCAGGGATTGCAACCTGTCCTTGAGGGACCACTGCCTCTCCTTTGCCCTGCTTTGGACTTTGCCCAGGGCCTCTTTACTGGCTTTCAAACCTTTGTCCGGCAGTATGAACAGAAGCTGATCAGCCATCGCTATCAGTTCTCCAAGACCCGTAGGGAGAAATGCCTGGCTCATGTCTTCCGTGATTGCAAGGATGATCCACTTCCACAGGCTGACACGTTACTTGATCGCCTGGAAATAGGTGTTGAAGAAGTCCGCCCAGAAGATCAGTCACTGGTGCTCACCAAGCCGGTCCGTCTGTTGGAGGAGGTTCCGGTGGTGGTTGGTGGGGTTGTTGTTGAGGTTGCTGCCCATTCTGAAGACCAGCTCTGGGTGGCCAACGTTGCTGGTATCCAAGCTGGGGATACCTTGACCCAGGAGAGACCAGTGATGACTGATGAGGCCATTTTGGCTCGCTTTGCCAAGGTGTGGCAGGCCCGTTGGATGAAACACCATCATGTTCAGTCAGGCCAGTGGGACCAAATCTGCGGTTTCTTGGATCGTACTGCCCCTAGTGTTTCTTGGACTTGTGCTCCTTGGACAGTTGATCGATTCCGCCAAGCTGTTCGCCATAAAAAGCCCAGGGCTGCCAAAGGCCCGGATGGAGTTGCACAGCCTGACTTGTGTGCCTTGCCTGTGGCGGCCTGTGAAACTTTGGTGGAGTTTTATCGTCAGGTGGAACAGGGTGCTGCTTGGCCTACCCAAATGGCCTCAGGTTTTGTCACAAGTTTGGCCAAGCATGCCTATGCCAGTCAGGTGGATGAGTTTAGACCTGTGGTGGTCTACAGTTTGGCCTACAGGGTGTGGTCCTCTGAAAGGGCCCGTGAAGCTTTGCGATCCATTGTCCACTTGCTCCCTTGCAGTGTTCAAGGTGGGGTCCCAAATCGCCAGGCCAAATCAATCTGGTTTGAATTGGCAACTCTGTTGGAAGCAGCCTACACCAATGGGGAAGCTATCCATGGACTTTTGATGGATATCCAAAAGTGTTTCAACAATATCCCTAGGCTTCCGCTGTGGCATGCGTTGCTCCGTATGGGCTTTCCGGTATCTGTGTTGCGGGCTTGGGTGTCCTTTGTCTCTGGCCAGACGCGCCGCTTCCGTGTACGGCGTTCAGTCGGTGAGCCCCTTGAGTCGAACTGTGGTCTACCAGAGGGCTGTGCCATGTCGGTTTTCGGCATGACCATTGTTGACTGGATGTTGGATTGGTGGCTGCAAGCCTTGGAAGTTCGGGTTGACTTGCGTACCTTTGTGGATGACTGGGGCCTTCTGTTCAAGGATGGGGCACTCTTTGACCGTCTATGGACATCACTTGAGACTTTCACCACTTTGATGGATTTGTCTTTGGATATGTCCAAAACTCGGCTCTGGTCCACAGATGGAACTACCCGCAAAGCCTTTCGCTCCTGTCCAGTCCAAGTGACATTGGCGGCACGGAACTTGGGAGCCCACCAAAACTTCAGCAGGCACAGCCATAACTCCGTGCTCCAACAACGGCTCTCCAAGATGCCGCCGGTTTGGGTCCGACTTAGGGCCAGTCCAGCACCATATCGTCACAAGCTTGCTGCCATCCACATGATGGCGTGGCCCAGGGCATTGCATGGTGTCACCGTTGTCCATGTGGGTGCATGTCATTTCAAAGCCCTTCGAGCGGGGGCCGTCCGAGCCCTAAAATGTGATCGAAAAGGGGCTAACCCCTACCTGCATTTGGCCACATCTGCTGTAGTCACTGACCCGGAAGCATGGTCCATCTTGCAGACCTTTCGAGACACCCGTGAACTTGGGCACCCTGACCAAGTGGTTTCCTCTCTTGGACTTTTTTCCACTGGGGACCTTGGACTTCCCAATAATGGACCCACCTCTGTCTTGCTTGCACGCATTCACCGTTTGGGATGGGCAGTGGGTGGTCAGGGTCTTCTCCAAGATCGATATGGCTGTTTTAGCTTGATGCACGTGGCTTGGGATGAGTTGGTTCTGCGGTTTCAGTTGTCATGGGGGCATGTCTTGGCTCAGGAGGTCGAGCACCGAGTCACCTTTGATGGTCTTTCCAGGGTTGATCTCCCGGAACTTCATCGTGCCCTGAGTGGATTTGGGGCTGCAGACTTGGTTTTCTTACGGTGTCACTTGAATGGGACCCTGTTTACCCAGAATGGCCGCGCCCGTTTTCAGCGAGGGACCTCCTCCAAATGCCCCTGGTGCCCTGCCAAGGATGGATTTTACCACCGGGCTTGGATTTGCCCTCATTTCCGTGCCTGTCGTGCTCACATTACTCCTGATCAATGGGAGGTCTTGGACTCTCTTCCACCGTGCTTGCGTGATCATGGTTGGCCGGTCATCTTGTCGGAGTGGGAGGTTGTCGCGGGCATGTTGCTGAGGGAGGATGGACTTTTTAAGATGTCACCAGTAGAACCCCCAATCTCTTGTGTCCACCAGGTGGTTGAATTGTTCATGGATGGAACCAGTGCGCATCCACAGGAAGCAAAGCTGAGATACGCAGCATGGGCAATCACTATTGTTCCTGGGGGCCCAGGCACATTGGACAACAGGTGGCTGATGGGAGGCCACGTTCAGGGTTTGGTCCAGACACCTTTCAGGGCTGAGCTAACCGCAGCTCTTCATGCAGTGAGATGGGCCGCTCAACGAGGCCAACGAGTTCGACTGTGGGGAGACTGTCAGGGTGTTTTGCGGGGCATTCAACGACTTTTGCTCGGCAAGCCAGTTCGGAAGAACACTTCCCATTCTGATTTATGGGCTCAAATGCAAACAATTTTGGCCACAGCGGGGCATCTTATCCAACTGCGCAAGGTGGTGTCGCATGGAGACATTCAACAGGCCACAGGGCCATTGGAGGAATGGGCGTATTGGCACAATGCGCTCACTGACTTGGCAGCTGATGGTATCAATCAAAGGAGGACAGCAGAGTTTTGGGCAGCTTGGGAAGGACTGCGAAGTGCATTGGTGTTCCATAGGAAGTTGCACCAGGCCATTTTGAAGCTTTTGGTTCAGACCTCCAGGGTTGCGGTTACAGAGCAACAACCCCGCCCCATTGTATCAATGGCAGGCCCTCAGGTTGATGCTCCACAGCAGATGCCGCAGCAATGGCAGGTTTCGGCACAGTTGGTTCGACGATATGGACAGGTGAACATGGATCAACTCCATGCGTGGTGGACTGCAGATGGGATTCAGCTGATGCAGGGCTCAAGCCCCTTGGTCTATGTGAGTGGTATCCAACTCTTTTTCCTGTTCAATCTCAGCACGGGCTACACAGGGCCTTGGTGCCATTCCAAGCGCTGGTTTTGCACAGCAGAAGCAGCGCCGGTTGCAGCGCGAACTAGCTGGGGCTCTAGGAGTTCTTTGTTCCTGAGAATGTGGCGCTCTTACCTCAAGAGCAACAAGGTCCTGCTGGCGACGAAGATGGCACGGCCAACCTCGGCTGCCTTATCGAAGTGGGGTGTCTGCTACCGCCTCCGTTGCCCACCGACCTTGGTAGATTTGGTAGATGGCCATATCTTTTCACAGCTCGGGAAGCAGGTGAGCTCACAAAGAGACATCTGTGAACTTCGGGCCGCAAAGACCGGCTAGATCGAGACCGCTGGGTTGCGAGGTCGTTCTGCTGCCTCGTAACTCCCCAATAAGGAGCAATAAGGAGTAATATTTTTCAAGATGGTTAAAACCACCAACCAGATGGATTGGTTTAAGGGACAATTTACACGAAAGTCCTATAGTTAATGGGAAAATCGTTGGTTTCCTGTCATTAGATTTTCCCTTAAAGCAATTCATTGAAATATGTGTGACCCATCCCCATCTTCAACCATCTTCAACCATCTTCAACACCTTTTTTGAATCATTGTGGAGTGGGCGAAGGCTGGTGGTGCTGGACTGGGGCATGTGTATCACCTTACCTCCCTCGAAGCCGCTCGGAGAACGGGAGAGCTGGGTCTCATGATTCTAATGGCTAAGGGGAACCATCCCAAATGGCTTTGTGTACAATGTAGATCCAACATGATACCTCAATATACCTCATGTTTGACCAGGTCGGCCACATGAACATGTTCATGCCCCCTTTTGATTTATCAATAACACAGCTCGAGAAAGTGTTCAACCGATGGGAGGGACAGATGAATTGCAATCTCCGTGTTTCCATTATGTTCCCACTCTTCAAGATTCATAGGAGTTGGCTCCAAAAAATGTTGCTGTGGCCCAACAGTGGATGTGCATCCCAATTGGCACGTGCTTAGATGTTTCATGCTAATAAGACGTAGATATAGATTGGATGTTTACACTATAGTTATGATTAGTATTGATTAGTTATACTATGTTATATGACATTCTATGCAGTCACAGTGTATTTAAATATATGCCATATGCATCTGTGGATTGGTTTCACCACTTTTGATTCCTGGGTCCGCACATCCAAGTATGAAATTATCCAATATTTTTTTTCACATGCAGCTTCCAATTATCAACCATTGTAAACCATTTAAATTCTCATGATTTACCAACATTTGTTTTTAATTTTAAATTTCAGCCACTCGAAATTTGAACAATCATCAACGAATCAATCACCACCACATGTAATCAACCATTACCATGTTGAACCATTACAGTATATATGTAAACCATACCTATGTTATCACACGAACATGATCATAAATTGAAATACGATGATGGCTGAATGGTCAACATGATGATCAATATATGAAATGATGTTTAAATATGGTTGATCATGTAAAATATTTGGTATATGATGATCATTTCATGTTAAATATGGTTGATCATGTTGATTATGTTTTATCACATGAACATGATGAAGAATTTGGCATCGCCGCAGCTCGTCGAGGGTCCATGCCTACGGCCAGCTCTTTGCAGCGGCGGCCACCAGCAATCCCTGGAGACGCTGGGACGAAGTCTAAGTTCACCCGGGAAATGCTTGGAAAATGCTGTGAAACTGGTGATTTAACTAGTTAGTTAATATGTAATTCACCAGGAAAAATATGGAACGCATTTTTTTTGATTTCACCACTGGAGATGTAGCGAAATGATTCAAGCAGAAAGCTGGATTCAACCAGCGAACTGTACTAGTGATCAGCCACCAATGGCTTGACCTGAATAGCATGAGGTCCATGATGCCTCTTGGGAATGCACTATAATCATATAATACGTATACCATTTGCTCCTAGAGTGCCTTTGAGAATAATTTTCCTGACAATTTCATGACAATTTAATAATTTAAGCACTTAAAGCTGCAGCAATCCAAGTTGTCAGAGGAAACTGTAAAACCGAAACGGCAAAACGGCTCACTTCCGCACTTCCCAACGGTATGATCCCCTGGTGACCAAACTGGGTCAGCTTGGGTTGTGATAAGAACCAATCCCACCATTGGATGGTGACCAAACAAAAAACAGCACCATGTCTTCTGGTAAATGCATGGTATCCATTGGTATCTTGTGAAATATGGATACCAGGACTGATGACTAATGAAATTGGTATCTTGTGAAATATGGATCCATTGTATCTTGTGAAATTGGTATCTTGATTGGTAATCAGGCACGTTCTATCTATCCGGGGACCCCGGCACTGAGGACTGATGGACGCCATGCGTGGCATCGGAATCACTTTCAGGGACCGCTGCGTGCTGCCGGGATGACAGGTTCTGGATGCATGTGTTCATGGCATAGATGGTGGATAGAGAAGATGAGGTTGTCCAAAATTTAGCGATACTTCAAAATGACAAATGTGGTAAACTCAGTAATAAACCATTTGGGAATTAGTTTTTCCAGCCATTCTTGATAATGCTGGGGATGGTTTATTGTTGGGTTTACCACATTGCTTATTGCTTGAAATGAGAAGCATCATGAATCATGATCAACAAGGAAACACTGTGGTTGGTATCCATATGATGTTACAACCATTTACCATTGATGATACAACCTGCAAATATGTAAACGGATTGACATCTGGTTACCTGGCAACCATTTACAACAATTTACCATGGATTTATGATGTCAATACATATCTTTGGCAGGATTTACAACCCAAATGCCACAGAGATGTATTGAATGTATTGGTTGTTGGATGTGATTGGTGTCTTCCCCAGAAAAAAATGCGACAGATCTGAACCGACCAATTCCTATATCTGTGGGACCCAAGTGAGGTCTAAAAACTCGTTGGCAATTGCCACAGGAGGGTGATGTCTTTGAACCCATGATGTTCCTGAACTTCATCCGTCGCCCGGTAAGGGTGAATCCTGGAGCTTTCTGGGGATCATTGAAAAAGGATTGGGCAACTGAAAGCTGTGATATAATATCATGCTTGGTGGAACTAGGTCTTTATGGCTGCATGATGCATTTACGGCATATTATATAGATGAAATGAGTCAGAAGTCAGATAATTGATGCCGTACTCGAGCTTTTATGGTTGGAGGGGGTTGACGAGTGTGCTGAAAGGAGATAGGCTTGGTCAGTATGTGTTTTTCTTGTAATGATGAGACATAGAACTGCAAGTTGGTATACTGTAGTTGCCAGCCCCCATAAAATATATTCAATGCGTGTTTTTTCCATGAACCATCATGTTCACCTGTTTTTTTCAAACTCCAGGAGTCATAGATGTTCAAAAATGCCATGTTTCTTATTCTTGGGCTTCAGTTCAGTCCCTTGTTGTTTCTTCAAAGGGCAGACAGTTCTTTCCCATGGCTGCCGTTGTTACCACCGCTGGTGACCGCCCGGTGAGGTTTCGCCCTGCGGGAAGCGCAACCCGCGGAGGAAGCGAAAGGACAGGTGGAGAACTTCATGAAGGCGACGAAGATGTCGCCGGTTGGCCGAAGTCCAAGGGTTTTTCTTCGCCACGTCTCAGTTGCAGAAATTAGACTTGAAGATCTTCAAGATCTTTAACCAATCCAGGAATATAGTCACATTATAAATATATTACTAATATATATATATATATATATGTACATATATATATATATATATCATATCACTTTTTGTTGCGTGATTTCTCACATCCCCTGTGTGATTTTCCAATCACAACGGCTGCGGCGTTTGGCTGCAGGCTGGGGACGACCTCTATCAGCGCGGCCCGAAGCGCTTTAAGAAGTCGCCCTTCGACGTGATCACCGGGGACTGGGCTGGCGGCTGGCGCTGGAAGCTGCGGGTTTTTGTGGGTGAATTATACTTAGTATGGTTAATATATGGTTGATATATGATTAATATTTGGTTAATATATGGTTAATATTTATATGGTTAATATATGTTAATATATGTTAATATGTGTTAATATTATATACCATAAAAAGAGAGAAAAGTACATAATAAATGATACCCCTAATGGTACAAAATCCTACCCTAGTTATCAAACTGGGTATCTTCATGTATCTAAAAGATAAGTATGAAAGATACATGAAGATACCCAGATAGATCACTGGGGTAGGAATGCATAGGTTAACAAGGACAGACTGGTTCGACATCGGAATGTTAGCCGAAACACTGGGCATAGGACCAAAGATTCATTGGAAAGTACATGGCCATGTTATTTGCTTAGTGACATGATCTTATATAGATTTACATTATGACATAGTGGTTTATATCTTCAAACATATTTGGTTATATAATGGACAAGCACACAATTTGCACAGGTGAACTAATATGCACTTAGTTGAGTGCCTTTTACTTAGTGAGATATCCCCACACATACGGAAACTGAGCATAAAACCGATGATCATGATAGCCCACTCACCAGATAGCAAACTCCATCCATCCACATCAACTGATATCATCTTTGCGGTACCAACGTCTGTGGAAATCTGGTGACCCCAAGAATCCGGGTGACCAGGAGGCATTCATGACATACGGATCCAAGAACATCTCCGCAGGACATGACCTACTTTATGAAAGCCTTGGACCTTCTGTGGTGCGTCGGGGCCCCGAGGGGGTCCGTGGTTACCGTGGTGTACCAAGAATTTGATCCAACTATGTATGTCGGAGTAGTCATGTTTCGTGTTTGGGATACATGGGGTATACCCCCAGATCTCCCCAAATGGTTATATTATGTTATATTGATCTGGAATTCACTGACCATGCCAGAGGATTCGCCAAGATTTTCAGAGCTCCAATGAGTGGATCGGCAAGTCCCGCCTGAGCGAGAGCATGCCTGACATGAATACCAATTTTGGTTGGTGGTTAAAACATGTTAAAACATGTTTTTTATTTTCCAAAATATATGGGATAATCCTTCCCATTGACTAACATTTTTCAAGATGGTTAAAACCACCAACCTGCAATGTTTCAAGCTGAATGCAATGTATCTGGATAAATTTCATCACGACCGAACCCTCTTCTCCCGATCGGAATCATGGTTTATAAAAAGGGGGAATCATGGCCGAATGGCCCAACAATTCAGCTTAGGGAAATACTATAATTTACCCAGATATTATATATATATATGCCTGCAAAGCTCAACTGTTTGCAATTTTGCAGGGTTTTTGCCAGGGCAAGTCTGTTTCAAGCATCATAACAACTTGTTATTGCGCCGACTGGGGAACTGTTGTGCTTGCTGAATGGTCTGAAAGCGCCGTCGCAATTTGCTGATCGCATTGGTGACATGTCTGGGGCAGCTTGCAGTGGCAGGCACCGATTTGAGAAAGGGGCTTCGTAGCCAGTGTACGTGCAGTGGCCTTTGTAGGCCAAGTTTCTTTCAAGCATCAACTTGTTGCTGCGCAGGGAATGAGACCAACAGCAAGGCCGACGGGAATGAGCTGACAGACATAGGCCTCGTATGATGATTCAGCAAGATCCATGGATTCCTAAACCCAGCGATCATCAGTAATCTGTGTGCGGCTGTAGCTCAACATATTTGACCACATTTTTTCAGCTTAGATATTTGTTCAATGGATTTGTCTGAAAATCGAGATAGATCGAGTAAGTGAACCAAATTCCCCAGTAAAATGGTCATTGCAGTGGTATTGCCCCGTTTTCAGACACAGCCAAAATTGGTTTTGGGTCAAGATGCAGTGCCCCAATTTCATCCAATTTCAACCCTTTAGCCTATAACATTCAGATTAAATGGTCAGATTAAATGATCCAATATAGCATGATGTATTTACATGTATTACCTAGTACGGTTGGTAATGTATTACCATATATATATACATTAATCAAATTAGTTATATGTTTATACCATTATAACGTTTCTTACCAAACATATTATTATGCTATCATTTAAACGTTTGACCCCAAAATGTTGGGTCCAATTTTGTTGCTCCATTGGCATCCCGGCTTCGCCGCCTGAACGCCGCTTCGCCCTCCGAGGTGTCAAGTCAACTTCACACGCGACATCCCATCCTGCAGTCCATGTTCCTACGTAGCCTGGTGGCTATTGTACCTTAAAATGTCGGGAAAAAGCACCAGTTTATACAGTGGTTTTATCAGCATATCCATATCCATATATGTTGGGGCTTATATTTGATATAAATATATATATATATATTATTCCATGTTTTTGTGTGGTCACATTAGCATGCGTGGGTTGATATATAGATGGATGGTGTATTTTGGGTGGGATTTACATGTGAATTACTTCCTAGGGAGCTTGGAAACTTCAGGTGATGGTGACCGGTTATTTAAAGTCGTCACCACTGGCGCGGCGGTTGGGAAGCTGGAAGCTCGAAACATGCGCCGAGGTTTTTTCATGGGGATGAAGTCAACTGGACACAATAAGACAGCACTGGAGTGGTGAGTTAACAGAACTACTTACTGTATCTAATACGGATGTTTGTAGTTTATACATGTTTAAACATGTTTATACATGTTTATACATGTTTAAACATGTTTATACATGTTTATACATGTTTACAAATTCAAATTGCGATTCGGCAGCAATTTATCAAATTGGGATTTGGCAACACAACAGGGATGTTGCAAGCGCAGCTGAACATTACAGCCATGAATCAACATGGATGGAGTTGCCAGCCCCAAGAATGCGATTTAAAGACAGGACTCAACCAATGTCAGGATTTGGCGGCAAAATCTGAGATGTCGTTTAATCCCATTTCCAGAATCTTAGTCTTAGAACCTATGAACCTATTGGGTACAGTACGTGTCAAAATTATCACCGGCCCACATACCACCGACAGTTTTTGGGGGGTCATTGGTGTCCCCAATGACTAAGACCTATATAGAACACGTTTTGGAGCTGGTTGAAACATCCATTAGAGTTTTTCAGAGGTTCCAGTGAACACCCTGTTATCATGTTCGGATGATTAAACCATATTAACACCAACAAAACATAAACTGGATTCCCAAAGAGTAGACACAGTTGGTGGTTTATGATTCATGATATTTAAAGAAGCAATGGATAGTTCAATCCGAAGACGACCCATGGCGACCCCCTTCTCGGTGTATCCAAGGCGCCCTGGCGACAACCAGCAACATCCCCAGGCCGGGGGTCAGTAGGGCCGTGGGGCAGCTGCGCAATATTTCCAGAATGGATAGCTATGGAACATGGCCCATTTATAGTTGATTTATCTATCAAAATGGTGATTTTCCATAGCGATGTGGCTATGTTAGTTTACTGGAGGGTATATACGATATATGGGATGTTGGAACTATACTGATTATTTGGAACAACGTATGGAATGACTTGGAGCAAAATCATAGTGTGCTTGATGAAGAAAGATACAAGATGGCCCGAGTTTCCAACATATCCCCTTGAATGGTGGAAACATCGTTGAGGGTTTCCAGTGAGTAGTGTTTGTTCATGTTTGTTCAAAATGTTTGCACTTGATTTGGATGCGGATCAACAAACATGAACACTGAAACCTGGATCCTCAAAAGCTTAGTGTATGTAGTGTTCACCATTTGATTCGCATCCTCGATACATTTGGCGTTATTCGGCTATTGTTCAAATTCATTGCCTTAACCATCCGATGGTCTACTATATACTCAAAGGTTGTTTCCATTGTTATTCATGTTAGATCCATGCCAAAGAACTTGCCAAGTTCAATTTTTGCTGGCTACAGCAGAATCCCCATCGCGTCTCGGAGTCTCGTTGGTGGCTTCAACGTTGGTGATTTCTCCTAGCTGAGATGATCCAATTCCAAGTCACATCCCCCAGCGGTTGATCAACAGATCCGACCTTTGTTGGTCAACCCGCTTTGTGTGATAAATTGACCTGCAATTCAGATGATTTTGTTGCTTTGTTCATAGATGATCTGGAAAAACGTCAGGCCTACTACGCACATCCGATAAACCCATCAAACATATCCCAACATAAAAAGGGTAACAGATGGTAACAGCTACAAATTGAACAGGCTTATTTAAACTTGGCTTAAAACGTACAACTCGCTTTTGATTCTTCGGAACACATTTTTTTGATAATTTTGAAACCCCATTTTGATCTAAAATAACATTCCCCTCAGTCACAAGAGTTGGGTTATAACATGTTATAACCCCCATTATACGTATACTTACAAGTACCATAAACCATAGTTCTTAGAGTCATTTGCAGCAACTTGGCTGCAGGTTTCCTAAAATCATCCATTTATAGATTGGATGTTCCAGCATCGAAGCCTGTCAGGTCTCCTGCGGAGCTGCTGCCAGCCAGTTCCACCAGCTCAAGTGGTGCGGCCTTGCAGCAACGCTTGGGGCGGATTTTGGAAACGCGGCTGGGACAGCATCTGCAGGGGTTTTCCATAGTCATGGGGGTACCCCAACAGCTGGATGGTTGACTTCACCGAAAATCTTCAAAAAAAAATGATGAGAACTGGGGGTACTCCTGATCATTTATGGAATCCTTCATTCAATGAGAGAACGAGAAATCATCCCGAACATTGCCGATTATTCATGTTTGTTCTGGTTAAGGACAACACTGTCATTGTTTTTTTCACGTTTGGGTAATGTTTTGGGGAAATGTTGGAAAGTGTTCCATACCTGGAGGATTCATATCCGCCACGGTCAAAATTGAGGCAAATTGTACGTACTGGGGATGGTCATGGATCCATTAATATATCCAAAATGAAGGATTTTTGGGTTTATATATACACCTTTTGTAACGATAACCATCATGCGATGGATCTGATCTGGGCGAATCTACGATATTATGGGGGATATCATGAAGATAATCCCACAAATATAACTGAGCAATTAGCTCAGCTCACCCCAGTTGTTTGTTAGGTAGCGGATACTTAAACCTACAAAAATCCGTACTTTTCCCACTGATTGGGGTTATAACCTCCTTGCGATCCCAGGGAGCCGCCTCGCTCAGCAGCTTTCCTCAATGGATGAGTTTCAAAATCGGAAACACATGGGAAACACATCATCTAGTCTGGTAAAAAGTTAAAACTCTATGGTGTTTTGTGGTTAAGATGTTCCCCATCCTTACCGTGTTTTCTGTTACGGGATGGATTTACCAGTTTCTGTGGATGGTTTCAGTTTCCCATGGATTTCCCATCCGAAGCGATAGATTTTCCTCCACGATTTACAATTATTATATGCTTAACATATAGTGGAGGATGATTATCCATGATTTAACCATGATTAATCATTGATTTAAGTAACCATGATTAACATATCAACCATGATTTACAATTATATTATGTGATTGAACCATTATTAATTAGCCATTATTCACCCTGATTTCCCCATCAAATCCCCATACATGACCATAAATCACCATGATCAACGATTATTTCCACCTTAATTAACCATTATGAACCATGATTTCCACATATGTCCACCTTATAAACCAGTATGGACCATTATTTCCACATCTTTCCACCTTATTAACCAGTATGAACCATGATTTCCTTATCAAATCCTATGAAATCCCCATGAAATCAGGTCGGCCCCGCAGGTTCTACCGCCGCGGCGACCTCTTGGGCGCCCAACTCACCGCCGTGCGCCTTGGGAGCGGTGCTTGCGTGGCGGACGTGGCGCTGGGGGTGGACTCGTGGATGCGGAAGGTGCCTGGATGGGATGGTAGTGGGTTAATAATAGTTACCATGGTTTATTAATTAGGGGGGTACTCCTCCAATAGTCATAATCCAATACTTAAATGGTACCCCCCAATTCACCAGCCTAGGGGTTTATTAATCCAGGGTTGATATTAATGGGAAATATGGATTTTATAAGGGGATAATAATGGGTTAATAATGGGATATTAATGGGAAACATATTCATTTTATCTGGTTGGTGGTTTCAAACATGGCTGGATGATTTTCGATTTCATATATGGGATGTCATCCGCCAACCATTGACGAACTCCATCATTTTTCAAGATGGTTATTGCACCAGCAACCAGAGTTGGTTGGGGGCGAGGATCAGCTCAGGACTCGTAAGAGGTGAGTAACTGGGGTTATGACTTATGACACCTATAGAGGTTTGGAAATGGGAGAAGCGAATGGGGACTTACTGACCAGGGTTACTGATTATGAACCAATTACTCAGTTGGGAGGATTCTCTAAGTTGAGGGTTGGGGCAGTTTTTTGCTGGGTGTCTAAAGAGGAAAAACACTTGGGGTGGTTAGAAGACGCCATGGGAAACTGAATGGAAATGATGATGGGTGGGTGACTGATATTTGTTTGAACATGACACTTGGGGTACCAGGAGAAATGACGAACATCGCCCTGCAATGAACTTATCTATTACACAAGTATTCAAGATGTTTGCTGCGAACAACAATCAGTTCAGTTGGAAGAGATGCTTGAAGCAAAGGATCCCCCGAAAGTTGCAATGTCAAATAACCAAGTCAGTGTGTGCATTCCTGCAGGTGCAGATTGTACCCATATAGCTTCATGCATCAGACACCGTATACCAACAAAAATCGTGTTTGCGACTGAACATGTCCGGTCTTCTATCTGACATGTTGACTCATACATACTGTACCCATAGTTGTATACAATTTAATAATATATATATATTATTATTATTATTATTATTAGTGTTATTATTCTACGATGAATCACATTATTATACGATGAACCACGAATCATGATGATATTACTCATGTTGGTTGCCATACATTTCTGTCTTTTCCTATCCTTGCATATGTTCCTACGTGGTAGCGACATCCCAGCCGAGCGGCTAGGAACCCATCACAGCCAGCACGTATTTCAACTTGCTGGACATCTCCAAGTTGATCGTCGCTGCGGCGGGATGAAGTCTGGCCATAGAAAAACACACCACATGGGGGAGATGAAGAACTGAATCCATGGAACTCTGAATTTGCTTGGGGTGGTGATCCGTTTAAGTTTCTCTAAGTCTCAATTATGGTGGCAAGACAGTTGCTTGCTTGAAGTTCCTGTGTGCATCCATTATTTAGGCTGCCATTCTACAATGTGTTCGTAAACATTCTATCAGTGTTTGACAACATGTCTTTCAATGCATCCAACTCAGCAGCTCATGATCAACACACATGTTTGCTTACATCGACAATATTGATTCTTAGGTCCCCACATGTTTGCTGTTGAAACAGACAGAAAAGATTGACCCACTGACCGCCCCATTTTGTGTTGGTGAAGTTTCTATCAAAAAGTGGAGTTTTGTAGCTAAACCCCGCAATTTTTACGTTGATTGAATCATTGGATCTATGTTGTGTGGGTTAAAAAGAACAAAACATACAAAGAGACAGCCTTATATCTGATGCGCCCCCTAATGTTGGTGAAATCTCGATGTAAACACAATAGGACGTTTTTTGGGTGACGACAACCATGGATAGTACAATTATGTAGATTTGGTTTCATTAGCTCTTATTGGATCTACCAAATTATTTTTCCAACATGGTCCTAATGTCTCCACTGTTGAAATCCAGTTTTGCTGTTTAAATCAACCAAATCCCCATGTTGGTTGCTTGACAATTGAATTGTTGTCAATTTCCAGTGTTTGATGGTTCAATAGCTTTTACAAGTCCTTGCCGCTCCTCAAAATTATAATTTTCAAGTCTTATTCATTTTTTCCTACCTGGGTTTTAAAGCAACATTGTGTATATCTTAATCTGGTTGGTGGTTTCAAACATTTTTTATGTTCCATAATATATGGAATAATCCTTCCCATTGACGAACTCCATCATTTCTCAGACGGGTAGGTCAACCACCAACCAGATGTTTTTCTCCATTTCCCTATACCCTCTGGTAAACGTTTACATAACGAACTGGAAAGATCCACCATTTTCAATGGGAAAATCCACTATCAATGGTGATTTTCAATAGTTATTTTGACATAACCAGAGGGTATATCCCATTAAATCCCATTAAATCCCAATTAAATCCCATTAAATTACCAGAGGGTAGCCATGTTGGTGCCTCCAAGCCGTTGAGGTCTCCTTTGCCGTGCTGGAGCTGCTGCGCGCAGGTCGCTTGCAGCTGACTGATGCGCTGCGGCTGGGGACTGCGGAGGCGGGTGATGCGACGCTGGGAGATTTCGTGGGATGGAACGGGTTACTAATAATGGATACATCCATCTAATGATATATAGGACATATGTTATATTAGATATTAATTGGATATATATGGATCTAACATATAGGATATTACTGATCTACCCTATGGTAAACTAACATAGCAATGGAAAGATCCACCATTTTTAATGGGACAACATCCACTATTTCTATGGTCATTTTCAATAGCAAACTGTTAGTTTACCAGAGGGTACCCTATGGTAAACGTTTACAGTTTGCGAACTGGAAAATCACCATGTTGAATATAGGTAAATCGACGAACTAAATGGTACATGTTCAATAGCATTAAACTGTTAGTACCATCTGGTTATTTGTTACATAGCCATGGAAAGATCCACCATTTTTAATAGGTACACCATCTATTTCTATGGGCCATCTATACCATGGCTATGTTAAATAACCAGAGGGTAAAAGTCATAGGTTATGCATGTATTTTTTTGTTTTAACCCGCACGAAATGATTCATGTATATAGTTTAAAACTCATAGGTTATTCATAGTTTATTCATTTATTTATATAGGTAATTCAGTTGCTATTCCATTTTGGAAAAACGTCAGGCCGCACTTCCGATAAACCCATCAAACATATCCCAACATAACAGGGGTAACAGATGGTAACAGCTACAATGTGGGCCCCCGTAGATAGCTAAGTTGCTGAACATAACTCCCATTTCACTATGGTTTATGATACCTGTAACTATAGTATTCATGGGGTTTATAAACCAACTTATAACTGGGGGCTCACAATGTAGGCTATTCATGTATATAGTAGTTCAGTTGCTATCCCATTTATAGAAGGGGTTGCTTCATTCAGTTTATGTGCCATTATAGAAATACACCTATACTTGATTGCATCGGGTAACCGTAAATTTCCCTGGTTTTGAGGACAGTTCTGCCAGTTCCGGCCCTTTCTTTTCATGGTTCCCTGGCTGCCAGGTGACGGTGGAGGACATCTTGAGCCACCGCAGTGGCTATTGGCTGCCCTTGCCACAGCAGCTGCTGAAGCTGTCACTTGGCGACTCCATGGGGAGTCATGGATGTGGGTTGTCGAAGGGTCTAACATCATCAAACGTGAGGGGGGATTTTGGCAAGAGATATAGCTTTGAATCCATGAAGACATGATAAATGGAAATGACATGAAGTGAACCATCAACACTGTGCAGTTAACGTATGGTAATGGGGAAATGGGGATAACCATAAGGTAAATAAGCCGTAAATACTGGATTTAATGTATATAATGGGTCAACCTTCGATGGGTACTTTAGTACGTAAAAATTGGTTGCTATTAATGGATATATTTAATGTACTCAGCAGCAAAATATTGCTTTTTTGGAGGCATATCTAAGATTGGCCATGCTATTATATAATGCTATCCCCAGTGAGATAGAAAAGTATGCACTATAAATATCATTGCCAGATTGGAAGGGATTAACAATTTTACAATCTGGTAATTTAGCATATATATATATAGCTATTGAAAATCACCATGTTTGGTGGGAAATCATCTGTAAATGGCCATGTTCCTGTTGTGCCATAACGATGGCCAAATGGGATAGAGCGGGGTAACGGTATATGAACTATTCAATATTAATGGAATATATATATATATATTCTCTGGTAAACTAACAGGTCGCTATTGAAAATCACAAGAACTTGGGGCCAGCCATTCAATAGCTATGTGAAATTACCAGAGAGTAACCAACACATATTTTCTGGATGCTATTGGTTTATCCAGAAAAAGGATATTCCGCCCTAATCTATGGCCATCTAAGGGATTAGATTCTGTGAGAAATCCATATTTTTCGGAGTTGAAGATTAACACAAACCGGAAAACATGATCATAAAGATATATGAAGATCGGCAGTGAAGCAAGGACATTGGAGATTTTGGTGATCAAAAACATAACCTACCCTAGGGTAAACCATCATAGATGTGGAAATCCCGAAATGTTTCGCTGAAAAAATGATCTATAAATATTGTTTTTTCCACATCGAACTGTTAGTTCAACGCAGGGTACACCAACAAGATTGGATATTTTGGAATGGATGGCTAAAAGAGTGAACCATGCACCGGACCTTGGTTGGTCATCTCCATTTGTGTACCTTGCATTCCCATATTTTGGTGTCATTAAAAATGCCCCAAATAGCTTTATCAGGATTATTGGGGATGCACAAATCATGTTTTGCCAATTCGATAAACCCAATATTTATTGTGGCTAAAAATTAATTGTATTGGGTTTATTGAATTGGGAAAAAATGATTTGTGCATCCCCAATATTGATCAATATTGCCAAAATCCAATATCATTGGCAATAAACCCAATATGCACTAGTTGGGGATTCAGGGTACCCCGATGATTCCCAATGTGGCTTTACTTTTGACCAGATCCCAACTGGACAGTGGAAAAAAAGTGGCCTGCACCAAAAACGGCACCGTTTGGACTGCCTTGACATCACCAACGGACTTGGGAAATTCAAACTTGAGATTTGAAGATTGGCTCGCTACATGAGATGGGTATGTCTGAAAATGGGGTATACCCCCAATTATAGCCATTTAGTAGGGATAATGATCAGCAAAACCATTGGGTGTAGGGGTACACTATGGTACACTATTTTCAGACAAACCCAGATATCATGAGATACATTGGACAATGTGGGATGTTCCAATGGCTGTCAAATACCAGATCGATCAGTAGATCTGGAGTTGGGTGTTTCTGACTGTGCTTGGGATAGAAGTCCTATGGAACCACGATGAATGACACATGTTGGTGAATATGTTTACCATCATTTTGGGCTGCAAAACGTGCACATGGGTCAAACTGTTGTTGCTTACACCAACATCGAACGGTTGAATGCTAGAAGCCGCAGGCATTGTGGAAAGCGTAGCAGATCATCGAGGCCATAGCGTTGCAAGGCGTATTTTGCTGATGTTGCTGGGCCAGGATGCCAGTGCATTGCTTCAAAGCATCGCGGGCAATGGTTCAGCTCTTCAACCGAAACAACGGCCAGGAAGGCCAAAGCCAGGTCCGAAAAACATTTCCAAAACGGGAAGATTGCTGGGTCAGTGATTGTTTCTACACACTGGAGCCCAACGACAGCTGGATCGCCAACGGAGGAGAAGATTGCGCAATGCAATCTTTTGACATCATACTTGTATAAGAATACGTATGTAAAACATATAGTTGTATTATCTATATAGTATTGATTAGTATTGAACGTCCACTTTGTTGACCTTTGATCTTTAAAGATGTTATTGGTGCTTCCAGAATTTCAGCATGTTGTCCATCAAACTTCACTCATCAAGCTTTCTGGTTGGTTGTAGGATGAGTTTAGAGACCCAAACTCAAAGGTCTTTGGCATTAAAGCTGGGGTGGCATTCCAATCAGTGTTGCAGATCTCTTTGTTCATGTTTTGTTGTGGTTTGTTTCATCACAGTAGTAGTTTCTCGTAGTATTTGGCTGCACATGGTTGTCTGGTTGGTGGTTTGGATCATGGCTTTTATTTTTCCATATATTGGGAATAATCATCCCAAGTGACTTTCATATTTTTGAGAGGGGTAGGTCAACCACCAACCAGTTGTTTATTGGTGATTGTGAGGTTGTCAATGGTAGAACTTCCTGCCAAATCCACCGGTATTTCACATGACTCATGGACCGTCAATTTGCCCCATGGCCATTGAAGACTTACCTCCATGTATGTCGGTATATATATATATACGGATAAATTACACATATATGTATAATATATATATATGTGTGTATGTATGTATATATATATATATATATCATATCATCATTTATCTGGATAGATTTGATCACCACCTCACTGCGACGTCGCCGGAATGATGGCGAATGTTTTGGGCCAACTCTCCAACACTGGCCTTGATTATCCTTAATTCAGGCTAGTGATTAAGATTTATCAAGATGATGTTCAAGAAATCCGGGAAACTCCAAGTTCATGACTTGTAAGAATCTAGATTTACGTGAAATTCCCCATTGACTATCACCCTAACTTTCCCGAAAGTTTGCAGCTCTAGGTCGGACCTGCAAGAAATGGAGACAGTGATGAAGGCGCCTTACGTGTGACGAATTCGTGGCATTTAAACGTCTTAAATCAAGCCTGAGAGTTAAGATTAGCCTATATTTTCTTTACATTTCCTTGTATCGTAGCATAATTATATCTTCTTCTGGCCGTCACGGCCGTAAGCCGTTGCCTTCGTGGGTTTGATGGGGCAATTCTCACCAGAGGCCTGGGTGAAGGGATCATGTCAAAACCTGGGAAAAATCTGCACAACCAAAAAGTGGGGGCCGAGACTTGGGGAGTTCTCTACAGAGCACCCGCATGCGGAGCGGATTCTTCGAGCGGATCAGAAGGGCATTGACCGAGAATCCGTCCCATAGATTCACAGAAACATCTCCTTGGTGGCGAGATCAAGGTCTGAAAACTCGCGAGATTATCAAGAATGGATGCTAAAACACGGTGTACCATTGCGTTTCTTTTTTTTGTGGAGTTTAATGAATCAAAATTGAGGTTTCACACTTATTACAAATTGAGATCATTTGCACATGCTATCAACAAGAACCTCAAACAAAAAATGGGAGTCATGATCCATGACTGCATCCGTGGACGTGTGGACGTTGGTGAGGGGCTGCCTTCTGCCAGGCCCTGAAAGCCACAGAGCCTGGAAGTGCAGGGCAGTGCGACTTGGCCCAAGAAAGATTTGGGTAAATTAACGATGGTTAATGAAATGGTTAATGAAATGGTTAATGAAATGGTTAATGAACCCATCGCTGGTCCATGAAATGGTTAATGAACCCATCAATTCAATCTAGGTAAATTGTTAATGGTAAAGTGTGACTTGTTCACTTTGGGCCTCAACCATTGGGGCCCAAACCAGAGGATTACAACATCACCAGTGGGATTTATCGCCCTAGTAGCATCGTTTTATTTGGGGATCATTGCAAAGAATGATCAAGTATGAATAGTTAGCTAAGGTTTGCTGAGTCGCTTGAAATAGGCGAACCAGGGTTTTTGCTGGATATATTTATATGGGTATGGGTCAAAATTAGGTACCCCAAAATTATGGATGGCTAATACTAAACTAGACTAACATCTATGGTCCCCTAGGTCTTCCATTTTGACCCACATCCATATAGTTTTTTTGAGTTTTTAGACAACCTTAGGAAGTCCCTGACCTTGCAGGGCTTCGCCCATCACGAGGCTATCACTCCTTCAGCTTCGGCTACTTGCTCGCCATGGCCTTGGAAAATGCCAAGTGTCCCCTGCCAGAGGCAGGGCGCAAGTGGCGCAAGTGCTGATGATGGGAAATGATGGGGATCAACAGGATATGATTACCCTCTGGTAAACTAACATAACTATGTGGAACATATCAATGTTTAATGGGAAAACTCACTATTTCTATGGTCATTTTCAATAGCTATGTTAGTTTACCAGAGGGTACATTTCACTACGTATAAGTAACTAATCTTTATCCTGCTAAGAAGGAGTATTGCCATTTTTGAGGATGGACAAAGAGTGATAACATGTGATAACTATAGTTGTTCAAAGTTTTATAGAGGCATGTTTAAAGTGGAAAGAACACACATGGTCAAGTGGTCACTGGTCGTGGTCATTGGTCTGGGGTCGGAAAGTGATTTCAGTCAGCCGCTTTACTTACCAGAGACCACAACTGGTCTGTCTGAAAATGGAGCACCCCAAATGTTGATGCATCATGAGCATCACCACTAGGTATCCTCCTTGAAGACAAACCCAAATCACCTTAGTGAAATATATCCCATTATATCCCATTATATCATTATATGTCCCATTCCATTTCCAGCATTAATAGATCCCCATTAAAGATATTTCACGAATTATTATATAGATCCCCACTATAGATCCCCACTATAGATCCCCACTAGTTTCCATTGATTCCCATATGGGTATGGGTCAAAATCAATAATTGGATGGTGAATAGTGAATACTAAACTAGACTAACATCTGTGGTCACTTAGGTCTTCCATTTTGACCCACATCCATATCTTGAAATTTCCACTTCTCAGAAATTTCACCTGAAAATCTCACCTCCCTTGGCAACTTGGTCGAGGCCTGGGAGGCCGTTTGCCAGCAGGCTACAGCCATGGCCCAAGAGCTACAGCTGGACGACTGGGGCCGCGGTGGAGTGGAAAGTGGTGGTTTCACCATGAAAAACGCTGGAGGAACATGATAATGGAAGGAGCAGCCAAGGTGCGGATTTATTTATAATAACTGAGTTGGTAAGTAGATACTTAGCAGCTGTGGGGGTATGGTAGATATTCTATTATATATATATATGTAAGTACTTTACCAACTTAGAACCGGGGGGGGGTAGCACCTTGTACCTCCGACATGGGATTCAACGTACGATTTATCCCCATAGAAATATGAAACGGAGATTCAACCGAGCAGTACCAAGAAGTTGAGGATTTTCAAAAATTGATTACCCTCTGGTACTTAATGTGGTTAATAGTGGTTAATAATGATAATCAATGATTATCAGCTGTGATTAATGGAGATTTACCCTCTGGTAATGACTAACATAGCTATAGAAAATCACCATTTTTAAGTTCGGTAAACCATCTATTTCTATGGGCCATTTTCCATAGCAAACTGTTGGTTTACCAGAGGGTAAACCAAACTGGAATTTAACTCACCAGGATGTGGAATGTAGTAACAGAAATGAACAGGTGAGCAGTAACAATGCGGGTTTAACTGATGAGAATGTGGGTTCAACCAGCTAAACCAATGGAATTTGAACAATAGAGATAGCAGCTTAAACAGAAAACATGAGATGGAACAAACGTGGAAACACAACCAGCTACAATAGGGCAGTGCAATAGGGACTGGACCAAATATTCAACCATGATGCTGTAAAACAAGACGAAATACTACGGCAACGAACGGGCTGTGACTTGTCAGTTTTAGCCACTGAGTCCACCAATGGTTGAGCTATCGCAGGAATGCTGTGAAACAGGCGCTTGCCGATCCGAAAAGTAACCCATCCCCTTCAAGTTCCAAGGCTTTGATTTCCACGGCCCGAAAAATGTGGCCTAAGAGCCATTCCAAAGAGAAACAGTTCAATGCTGAAAAGGAACACTCACGTCGTCAATTGAACGTGATTGGCATGGCTTTGTACTTTCGGGGTTTCAACTCTTTTGTCTGTTTATTAATTTCTCAGAATTGGGAATGATCGAACATGCTTTAGATTTAAGCCCTTAAAGTTTAAAGAGTTCATCGCCCCCAAAAAAAAGAAGCGCTATCCTATCGACATGAAACTTAAACCAGCCTAAGGGTTGAATTTGATCTGGAATGAGATACGATATAGACGTATCCAAGTACAAATGTCCCAAATCCTGTGGGTTAGATACCAATTGTCTAGCCAGTGACTACCCTTGGGTAAATGAATGTCCACCTACTACCCTGGTTTCTGAGGTGTTACACAGAACAGAAGGTAGTCAGTTCCAGAAGGCTTAACTATTGCTATATCATAATACACCTACATACACTCTATCTCCATAGATGTATGTCATATCATATTTGATCCCCATGTTTTCATATATGATATGAACTAGATTATACATGATGCATTAATAGACAATATGATCATATATGGCTAATTTCCCCATGTATACATCTTCAATATCATTAATATTTAGCATAAGATATACCCTTTGGTAAACGTTCACATAGTTATGGGAAATCACCATTTTCAATGGCTAAATCCACTATAAATCACCATTTTGAATGGCTAAATTTATTATAAATGGGCCATGTATCCAGTTCGCAAACTGAATTTCTCCAGGACTCTCCAGCCCTGCAGCTGACGCTCCCAGCAGCCGCAGACGTGGCGGAGTTGGAAGGGGACGTCACCACGCAGGACTTTGAGGAGGCGAGTTGGTGACCGTGAAATATCGCTGAAGGATTTGATGATGATGGTGGTGGTGGTGAAGATGGTGGTGATGATGATGATTATTATTATGATGGTGATGATGATAATGATGATGATGGTGGTGATGATGGGGATTACAATCATTAGGTAATTAGTAATTGATAATGATGTTTTGGTAATCACATAACGATACCTAATGAAGGTAATTACATAACAATGATGATCATGATGATTAATGCTTACCTAATTGATATTAATGATGTAAATGATCTATAACGCTTCTTTGCATCGGAGGATAATGTATGTATCGTCCGTTGAGGTTTTGATGTTTATTTGAGATGAAAATCCTCAATATCTAAAAAATGATGTTCTATAATGTCCTATGGTTGGTGAACTTCTTGCAGATTTATATAGGTTGTTTCATGATTTCTGCATTGTTTGTTGTTTCTTCTATCTTTTGGAGGGGCTACCTGACTATTATGACGTCGTATGATGTGAATGTCCCTTGATTCATCAATTTGATTAAATCAACGACCATTAAATGCCAGTTTTGTTGGCTCATATTCCACTTTTCATTGCGCACAACAGCATTCTGTATTATTCTGTGTGTAAATGTTTCATTTGCATTTGGACATGGTTCATATACATGGCAGAACCTTTACAATACCTTTACGCACAACCTTTACACAACCTTTACATACCCTTTGCATAATCTTTACCATGGACAACCTCCCAATGTTTTTCCGTTTCATCTGCAGTTTTGCTGAACATCCCGGGGTCGGGCTTGGAGGTGGCTGAGATGATCGGATATGCCTATGCCGTGTGGCTGGGACGTGGCACAGGTCAAAGGCGAAAGGTAAAAAAAAAGGTGGGACGAACTGGTGAATGTCCATGGTTAGATCATCTTAGTTCATCTTGGTACAATTTTGATAGATGATTTTCCTCAGGTATACAGTATAGGTTTTCATGATTTCTCACAAAATTTCCTGGCCACGTCCGAAGTGTGGGAAGATGGAAAGGACGCATCGCATGGCATCTTGGGATGTGAAGCCAATCTCCCAATGTTAGATGATTCCATGGCCCTTTGACTTCATATCGGAAACTTGAACCAGTTGCTTGGTTCAAACACCGAGGTAAATCCCAAAGGTTGCTGCTTTTTTGTGCAGATGTGTTGGTCAAATCCAGATGTTTGCCTGGTTAAACCCCCGATTTGTGGGTGAAATCAGTGAAATCCATTTTTTTGGCTGCGTAGATCTCAACTCATCCCAGGTGAAATCACCATTTGCCTCCACTGAAATCACCATTTGCCCCCAGTGAAATCCTGTGAAATCCCTCATTGGTTGGTCGAATTCCCATACTTTGTGGGTCAGCTCCCAGGTTGGGAGAACAAACCGACTCGCCCACCTCTGGGACTCCGGGGGAGGGAAGGTGAGGCGCCCTAGATAAGTTGACTTTCATGGGATTTCATGGGATGTAGATAGCTAAGTTGACTTTCAAATTGCCTAATCTTGAGTCGAGGTTTATGGAGGATAGAACTATGCTTAAAATAGATCTTGATAAAATCTTATAACCAAGGACTCGAACTGGGCCTCATTTTGTGAGGATTGGGGGGAATCATCCCCCAAACAAATACCAATACTGGTTTGGGGTTTCAAATATTTATTGGTGTTGAACTCTGCTTGGGATGATTCGTTGAGATGATAAAAATATTGTTGGCATGGGTTTTTTAACCACTGAAAGTGAAACACCTCCATTTATGGCCCTCACAATGAAGAAATCCTACATCCTGAATCCTAAAGGGTTTCCACTCGAGGTATTTTACGATAGGGGGAAGGATTATAGGGAAATCAGATCAACAAATACCGTAATATGTGTCAGCAGGGGGAACCATCCCAAACAAGAATTCATACATGCTTTCTACTTTCGGACGTGTGCACTATAGGAGATGGGCGAAAAATGATGATGAAGCGTTGAATTCTCAAGGGGACCCCTATGGACTATGACTGAATATCTGTGCACATTTCTCCGTGTTAATTTGTTGAGCACATTAGAGCACTATGTTTTGAAGATTCATGAACAGATGTTTATAGGATTTCATGGTGCTTGTTTTGATTTCAATGGTCATAACTGTGTTTTATAGGGTTTATAGCACTATGTTTTTTTTTACATTAACCCTGGATGCTTCATGCTGGGTATATCAACCTACATGGCTATTCTGCACAGGTGGAGTTGGTTGCGGGATCTCCTGTGTTGTGTCCAGATCATACTGGTTTCACCAACTGCTGAAACGGATTGAATGGGGAAACACAGGAGAATTGATTGAATTTAATGGGATTTCATGGGGAAATGAGAGTTAATACTGGTGAATCATTGATGGTAATGAAGAATGAATGTGAAAAAAAGCCATGAGGCTTTACCCTTCGGTAGACATGGCTAGCTGGAACATCCCCGAAGTAAATCAAGGTTTTCCCTGCTGGGAAGATCATCGGACTAAATATTCCCTGCTGGGAGCCAATCAACAGAGAAGCGGTTTTGCGCCCCAAAAAGGCTCCTGCTTTCTTTAAAATTTTTAAAAGGTATCCAAGTACCTTAAAACTGCCTTTGACATTACGCTTATATTGTTATAGTTATAAAATGTTATAAATCCATATGCCCTAATGAAAATGAATCATGGATCCAGGAAAATCCAATGGAAAATCCCTCATTTCTAGATCCCAAAAAGGAATTCATTTCCATATCTAGGTGAATTGAGATTAATTTACCTAGATTTTCACCATTTAGATAATTGTTTTCTGGAAATTCATCTAGTAAATATGGATTTCTATCCCTGTTGTCTATCCATTTCTGATTGGCGATCTCCAATCTCCTCGATGCTAGGAGTGAGGCGTCGCGGAAAAGTTTGTTTGGCCGCGAACATCTCTTGGACAGGTGGGCTGCGGTGGGGTGCGAGCTTCGAGGTCAAGGTCAGGATGTGAATCGGGAAGCGATTTTGGTGAGATCATGTGGCGAAAAGAATCATTAACCATCTCCCACATCCCCATAATATAGACTATAGGTGGTATAAACCATTCCCAAATGCGATTGATGATTGTTTTACCCTGGGGGTGCAACAAAACTCCTTTGTGATGTTTGTGACATGGAAACGTGGCGTTTGCGTACATGCACATGGTTCAACATGGGGTGTGACAACAAAAAAGTGGAGAGATGTACCTTCTCCAAAAGACTTATCAACATATACATGCATTGAATGGAGTAAACATCTTGGAGATATGACATACTTTGATGGAATCACAACTTGACAAGTATGTGATTTGAAGCCCACGCATGAATGGGATAAGAGCGGAGGTGAGGTGACTTGAAAGAAATGGTGCCACCAACTGAAGCGGGGGATGATCATGGCACAAGCCTGGGTTCATGGGAATCCTCCACAACATGGCTTTGTTTCAGGTGTGTGATACCAATATGTTCGAATCTCTGTATCTATCTGAAGGTTGGTTCATTTATTTGAAAGTGACTCAGAACTCACGTGAACATGTTCGTAATAGGGGCTGAAATCGTCCAGCAATTTCATGTTCATGTGCTTGAAATTTGGGTGCCCGGATACTGTGCAAATCCCTGCAACGCCACTTCGATACTTCAACCTTCCTCGAATTGGATTTTTAGGGAACATTTTCAGAAAACACCAGAAAATGGTGTTAAAATAGTCACCATGGTTTCCTGTGTAGCTTTTCCATATGCTTTCCCTTAAAACTTCACCCGTTTGAAACCTCCGCTGCCGTCGCCCTTGCAGCTCACCCGGTTGGGTCCCGGGTCGCGTCGCGTAGCGAAAGAAGGGGTCTCCTCCTCGACGAAGCCGAAACGGGGATCCCAGCCGTGCCCCGCTTGCGCGCGGAACGGTGTTCGGACGTTGCGGTGGCTGGGGGATTTCTATTTTCAGACCATGGGAAAAATGGTGGAAACATGGTCGAAATGATGGAAACATGGTTAAACAATGTTAAACATGGGAAGATTTCGGGTTTTCATGGGAAATTTCATGGGAACCATCCCCAATTGGAGAGTAGTCCATTAACGGGATGATTTTTGACATGACACCGTTAAATGGTTGGTCAGACGGGGATGTTTTGTTCGGTTTACCATGTTTTACCCAAACAAAAACACAGCCCCGAAAAAGATACAGATGATGTCTTTCCAATTATTTCCATGTTTCCATTTCTCGATCTAGTTGGGGGGTTGCTATAACTTGTAAAATATGGTGGTTCTTCTCATAGCCAAGGTGAGCTGAATGGAACGATTTTTTTCACTTGGGAAGTTGAGCAAGGAACCTGGAAGCCACTAAGATTGGGAATGTCACCATGGTAAGGGCCTGAGGCAAAATTCAAGCCATATATATCCATATATTATCACATATTAGTCATCTAGCTTTAGGACAGATTGGTCATTTCAATAGGATGCCATATTTGTTGAGGGGCCCCAAGTCACTTTCCGCGTCCCTGCGCCCTTGGCTGCAAGCCTCACCGAGGCGACGAGGTGACTCCGCCATGCCCATCCCGCAGTCGGCTGAAGCATATCTGCGGCTCCAAGCTACGCAGATCACCGCCTCGGTGGATCCCGAGGCGAGGCCTTTTGGTCGCGAGGAAACTGCAGCCGTTGACCGATGTTGAACGATGATAAGTTTTTTACACCCTGGTAAATTAACATTGACCCTGAAAATCACCAATTTTTAATGGAAACTAGTCTTCCAACCCCTATCTGCCAGGGTCTATGTTAATTTACCAGAGGGTAATATATTTGAATCCCAAGGTGTGTTGAATCAAGTGAAACAAAGCTCGATATTTGGGTTTGGAAGCAATCCACTGGGTTCCATTACCCATGGGATCCATGGTGCTGCTATATATGGTAACATTTACCATCAATATACCCCAAATGTTAGTATATATACCAGCACCAGTGCCAATATATTCTCCAGTGCCGGATCCTATGATATATCTGTGTTATCAATGCAGCTGTTAATCAATATATACATTGTGAGCCCCCCCAGTCATAAGTTTGTTTTTAAACCCCATGAATACTATAGTTTTCTAGGTATCACAAACCATAGTTATGGGTACGGGAGTTATTTGCAGCAACTTAGCTATCGTAAACGGGGGGCCCACATTGTATATTATATATATGTGGTAAAATATGTAAGTATCACAAATCATAGACTATACAGACTATATATAGATCAATCATATATGTGATGATCCTATGGGTATCAATCAGCATATTCCTCATCAGTGCCAGGCGCCATCGCCCGCCTCGCCTGGGTCGCCGGCGTCTCCGGCCTCGGGGCGCTTCACGGACCCTGAACCGGAATGGGCCGGATAGGGGGACAGCCAGTGAGTTGGGGCAGTTTCATTTCAAAAGTTTTAGTGTTTTGATATGTTTTATGTCTTGATATGATATGATATGTTTTGATATGTTTTGATCATATAAATTATATTATATATCAAGATATATATCAGTAGTACTGCACAAGGCGGTGGCGGAAGTTTCAAAAATAGGAAACCTATAGGAGAGATTGGCTGTTGTGACTCACGGATGGCAGAGCGAATGCACTGATGGACCGACAGGTGGTTGGAGTTGAGTTTTTTGGAATGGTTGCAATGGTTGCAGTGGTCACCTTACCACAACTGCTGGATGTAGTGTGGTGTAGTGCAGTTGTACTTGTAGTCGCAGTTGTAGCTGTAGTTGTAGTGTAATTAGTGTATTTGCAAGCACACTTGCAGTTGTAGTCGTGGTGTGGTGTCATTAGTGAAGTGTAGTGCAGCGTAATGTCGTGTAGTGTTGTGTAGTGTAGTGTGGTATAGTGTAGTGTAGTTTAACGTAAGATAGTGTAGTTGTAGTTGTAGTGTAGTGCAGTGTAATTAGTGTAGTGTAGTGTAGTGTAATTAGTGTAGTGTAGTGTAATTAGTGTAGTTGTAGTCGTACTGTAGTGCAGTATAATTAGCATAGTGCAGTGTAATTAGTGTAGCGCAGTGCAGTGTAGTGTAGTGTAATGTAGTGTAGTGTAGTATGTCTAGTGTAGTGTAGTATGTTTAGTGTAGTGTAGTGCAGTGCAGTGCTATGTAGTGCAGTGTAGTGGAGTGTAGTATGTGTAGTGTAGTATAGTGTAATGTAGTTGTAGTTGTAGCTGTAGTTGCAGTTGCAGCTGCGGTTGTAGTTGTAGCGTAATGCAATGTAATCAGCGAAGTGTAGTGTGGTGTAAGGTAGCGTGGTTGTATTGGTAGTTGTAGTGTGCTTCTGTGTAATCAGTGTAGTGTAGTGTAGTTGTAATTGTAGTTGTAGTTGTGGTAGTCATTGTTGTTGTAGTTGTTAGTGCAATTGGTCTAGTGCAGTGTAATTAGATGTAACGAGCATAGTGTAATGCAATTAGTGTACGTAGTGTAATGTAGCGTAGTATATTTGTATTTGTAGTGGTAGCAGCAGTGTAGTGTAGTGTAGTGGTGGTTGTAGTTGTAATTGCCTGTCTGTCTGTCTAGTCTATCTATCTATCTATCTATCTGTCTGCCTGTCTGTCTGTCTGTCTGTTTGTCTGTCTGTCTGTCTGTCTGTCTAACTGCGAGACTTCCTCAATTTTTGAACTTGACAACATCAAAAAAGAGGCAATTCTGCGAAACCTCCTCAATTTTTGAACTTGACAACATCAAAAACAAAACAATTCGGCAAGTTTTTTGTTGACAACATCAAAAATGAAACAATTCTGCGAGACTTCCTTCAAAAATGGAAAGTTGAGTGCAGAGCTGACAGCCTTGTACCAATGCGTTTTTGAGATTTTTCCACTCCATCTGTCCAAGCTACTGCGCCTGCCACGAAAAAGTGATGCCAGGTCATACGAAGTGCTGCACCCGTCACGCCAAATCATCTTAGCAAACCTACTGATCTGATGCTCCAAAATGCAACCCGTCTCAGGAAGTCAGTGCCCTGACCTCCTAACATCTCTGATGAACATGTCTCTTGTACTGCGCTGCCACGCGAAATGCATCTTGCCAGATCCTCTTCAAATGTCCCACGCCTGCCATCGTTTTTGGAAATGCTACAAAACCCTCACGTTTTGCTCACTTTGACAAGGTGCACAATCCCTTCCGCTTGCCACGCGAAACGACATCGCAATTTCCAAAAGTGGTCCAAACCTGTCAGTTTTTTTTGAAATAGTTTTTTACACTTTTGACTTCGAAATGTGCTTCGCGCCACGACGGCATGCACTTTTTCGACATCGCAACTTCCAAAAGTGGTCTGAACATAGTGTGTTTTGCACAGTGTGACTTCGAAATGTGCTTCGAGCCACAACGGCCGTGCACTTTTTCGACATCGCAACTTCGAAAAGTGGTCCAACCATTGCTTTGTACATTTTGACTTCGAAATGTGCTTCGCGCCACACCGGCGTGCAATTTTTCGACATCGCAACTTCCAAAAGTGGTCTGAACATAGTGTGTTTTGTACATTGTGACTTCGAAATGTGCTTCGAGCCACAACGGCCGTGCACTTTTTCGACATCGCAACTTCGAAAAGTGGTCCAACCATGGTGTGCTTTGTACATTTTGACTTCGAAATGTGCTTCGCGCCACACCGGCGTGCAATTTTTCATCTCTCATCTGCCCAGCGGGCTCCGCACCCGCCGCTTTAGTACTTGTCGACCCTCCGGAGCCACAAATCATTGGAAAAACACAATGTTTCGTGACTTTCCTACTTTTTCGCAAACCTGGATCGTTTTTTCTTCTGAGACTTTCTCTTTTTTGATCTTCTTTCTTCTTCTTCTCTTCTCTTCTCTTCTCTGACTCTTCCCATCTCTGCTTTTCATCTGTCCATACTGTCCGAAGTTTGACTTCTAAACTTCCTTCGATAATTTTTGATCATCCATGGATTGAACTGGGGATCATCCGGTAGGC